GCCTCCCGAGTAGCTGGGATTACAGGCACGCGCCACCATGCCCAGCTAATATTTTTGTGTTTTTAGTAGAGACGGGGTTTCACCATGTTGACCAGGATGGTCTCGATCTCTTGACCTCGTGATCCACCTGCCTCAGCCTCCCAAAGTGCTGGGATTACAGGTGTGAGCCCCTGCGCCCGGCCCCGGAAGTTCTACTTTTAATTCTTTAAGAAAGTTCTACACTGTTTTCCATAGTGGTTGTACTAGTTTACATTCCCGCCAGCAGTGTAGAAGTGTTCCCTATTCACTGCATCCATGCCAAAGTCTATTATTTTTTGATTGTGGCCATTCTTGCAGGGATAAGGTAGTATCTCATTGTGGTTTTAATTTGCATTCCCTTAAACATTAGTGATGTTGAGCGTTTTTTCACGTTTGTTGGTCAATTACATTTCTTTTAAGAATTGTCTATTCATTTCCTTAGGCCACTTTTTGATGGGATTGTTTGTTTTTTTTCTTGATAAGTTGCTTGAGTTTGTTGTAGATTCTGAATATTAGTCCTTTGTCAGATGTATAGATTGTGAAGACTTTCTCCCACTCTGTGGGTGGTCTGTTTACTCTGCTGGCTGTTCCCTTTGCTGTGCAAAACTCTTCAGTTTAATTAAGTCCCAGATATGCATCTCTGTTTTTATTGCATTTGCTTTTGAGTTCTTGGTCGTAAAACCCTTGCATAAGCCAATGTCTGGAAGGGTTTTTCCTATGTTATCTTCTAGAATTTTTATAGTTTCAGGTCTTAGATTTAAGTCCTTGATTTATCTCGAGTTGATCTTTGTGTAAGGTGAGAGACAAAAATCCAGTTTCATTCTCCTACGTGTGGCTTGCCAATTATCCCAGCACCATTTGTTGAATAGGATGTCCTGTCTCCACTTTATGTTTCTGTTTGCTTTGTCAAAGATCAGTCAGCTATAAGTATTTGGGTTTATTTCTGGGTTCTCTATTCTGTTCCATTGGTCTATGTGCCTATTTTTATACCAGTACCATCCTGTTTTGGTAACTATGGCCTTATAGTGTAGTTTGAAATTAAGTAATGTGATGCCTCCAGATTTGTTCTTTTTGCTTAGTCTTGTTTTGGCTATGTGGACTCTTTTTTGGTTCCATATAAATTTTAGGATTTTTTTTTTTTTTTTAGTTCTGTGAAGAATGATGGTGGCATTTTGATGGGAATTGCATTGAATTTGTAGATTGCTTTTGCAAGTGTGGTCATTTTCACAATATTGGTTATATTAATTCTAACCATCCATGAACATGGGATGTGTTTCCACTTGTTTGTGCTGTCTGTGATTTCTTTCAGCCATGTTTTGTAGTTTTCCTTATAGAGATCTTTCACCTCCTTGGTTAGGTATATTCCTAAATATTTTATTTATGTTTTTCTTTTTATTTTTTTGCAGGTATTATAAAAGGAGTTGAAATCTTGATTTGATTCTCAGCCTGGTTGCTGTTGGTGTATAGGAGAGCTACTAATTTGTGTACATTAATTTTGTATCTGGAAACTTTGCTGAATTATTTTATCAGTCCTAGGAGCTTTCTGGAGGAGTCTTTAGGGTTTTCTAGGCGTGCAATCATATCATCAGCAGACAGTGACAGTTTGACTTCCTGTTTACCAGTTTGGATGCCCTTTATTTCTTCTCTTGTCTGATGGCTCTGGCTAGGACTTCCAGTGCTATGTTGAAGAGAACTGGTGAGAGTGGGCAGCCTTGTCTTGTTCCAGTTCTCAGAGGGTGCTTTCAACTTTTTCCCATTGAGTATTATGTTGGCTGTGGGTTTGTCATAGACGGCTTCTATTACATTGAGGTGTGTCCCTCGTATGCTGATTTTGCTGAGTTTTAATTAAAAAGGGATTCTGGATTTTGCTGCATGCTTTTTCTGTGTCTATTGAGATGATCATGTGATTTTTCTGTGTCTATTGAGATAATGTATCACATAAACAAATGAAAATCCCTGGCATGAAATCCACTTGATCATGGTGGATTATCTTTTTGATATGTTTTTGGATTTGGTTAGTTAGTATTTCATTCAGGACTTTTACATCTATGTTCACCAGGGACATTGGTCTGTGGTTGTCTCTTTTGGTATGTCCTTGCCTGGTTTTGGTAGTAGGGTGATACTGGCTTCACAGAATGATTTCGGGAGGATTCCTTCTTTCTCTATCTGTGGAATAGTGTTGATAGGATTGGTACCAATTTTTCTTTAAATGTCTTGTAGAATTCAGCTGTGAATCTGTCTGGTCCTGGACTTTCTTTTGTTGGTAATTTTTATAATTACCATTTCAATATTGCTGCTTGTTGTTGGTAGGTTCAGGGTATCTAATTCTTCTTGATTTAAGCTAGGAGGGTTGTATATTCTAGGAGTTAGTCTGTTTCCTCAAGGTTTTCTATTTTTTGCACATAAAGGTGTTCATAGTAGCTGTGAATGATCTTCTGTATTTCTGTGGTGTCAGAGGTAATATTTCCTGTTTTGTTTCTAATTGAATTTATTTGGATTTTCTCTCTTCTTTTCTTGGTTAACCTTGCATATCGTCTATTAATTTAATTTATCTTTTCAAAGAACCAACTTTTTGTTCATTTATCGTTTGTATTTTTTTGTTTCAATTTCATTTAGCTCTGCTCTGATCTTGGTTATTTCCTTTCTTCTATGTGGTTTGAGTTTGGGTTGTTCTTGTTTCTCTAGTTTCTTGAGGTGTGATCTTAGCTTGTCTCTTTGTGCCCTTTCACCTTTGTGATGTAGGCATTGAGGGCTACAAACTTTTAGCCGCTTTTGCTGTATCCCAGAGGTTTTGATAGATTGTGTCACTATTGTCATTCAGTTCAAAAAAATTTTAAATTTCCATCTTGATGTCATTGTTGACCCAATGATCATTCAGGAGCAGGTTATTTAATTTCCATGTATTTGCATGATTTTGAGTCCTTTTGGGGTTGATTTCCAGTTTTATTCCACTGTGGTCTGAGAGAGTGCTTGATATAATTCCTGTTTTCTTAAATTCATTGAGACTTGTTTTGTGGCTTATCATACAGTCTATCTTGTAGAGAGTTCTATGTGCTGATGAGTAGAAAGCATATTCTGCAATTGTAGAAGGTTCTGTAAACATCTGCTAAGTCCATTTGTTCCAAGGTAGAGTTTAAACCCATTGTTTGACTGACTTTTGTCATGATGACTGTCCAGTGCTGTATCTGTTAAGTCCATTTGTTCCAAGGTAGAGTTTACACCCGTTGTTTTTGCTGACTTTTGTCTGGATGACTGTCTAGTGCTGTATCTGTTAAGTCCATTTGTTCTGAGGTAGAGTTTACACCCGTTGTTTTTACTGACTTTTGTCTGGATGACTGTCTAGTGCTGTATCTGTTAAGTCCATTTGTTCCGAGGTAGAGTTTACATCCGTTGTTTTTACTGACTTTTGTCTTGATGACTGTCTAGTGCTGTATCTGTTAAGTCCATTTGTTCCGAGGTAGAGTTTACACCCGTTGTTTTTGCTGACTTTTGTCTGGATGACCTGTCCAGTGCTGTATCTGTTAAGTCCATTTGTTCTGAGGTAGAGTTTACACCCGTTGTTTTTGCTGACTTTTGTCTTGATGACCTGTCCACGGCTGTCAGTGAAATATCCAAGCTCCTCACTATTTTCATGTTGCTATCGCATTTCTTAGGTCTGGTGGTAATTGTTTTATAAATTTGGGATCTCCAGTATTAGGTGCATATGTATTTAGGATTGTGATATTTTCCTGTTGGACAAGGCCTTTTATTATTATATAATGTCCCTCTTTGCCTTTTTAACTGCTATTGCTTTAAAGTTTGTTTTGTCTGATATAAGGATTGCTACTCCCGCTGGCTTTTGGAGTTCATTTGGATGGAATAAATGACTTTAATATTTTGAGACTAGTTTTCATTCAGATCTTTGTATAATAGTATCCGTCTTTATAAATACTCCATGTGATTGATTTTCTTACAGGCTTCATTTGTTTTAGAGCAGGTTGCGAAAAAATTGAGTGGAAAGTAGTTTCCCATATATGCACAGCCTCCTAACCAACAACGCCCCCCGCCCAGGCGTGGTACATTTGTTATAATTGATGAACCTACAATGACACACCATGATCACCCACAGCCCAGAGTTTATATTAGGGTTCTCTCTTGATGTTGTATATTCTGTGGGTTTGGAAAAATGTACCATGACATGTATCCAGCATTGTGGAATCACACGGGAGAGTTTAATTGCCCTAAAAATCCCAAGTGTCACCTTTTCACCCTTTCCTGCCCCCATCCCCTGGCAAACACTTACCTTTTCACTGTCTCCATAGCTTTGTGTTTTCCAGAGCATCATACAGTAGCTGTGGTAAGACGTAATCTTCTCAGGTTGCTTTCTTTCACTTGGTAGTATGTGCTTACGTTTCCTCCATGTCTTAAGAACTCATTTCTTTTTAGTACGGAATAATATTTAATTGTGTGAATGTACCACAGCTTATTTATCCATTCGCTGTGTGACTGATTTTTGATATGGATTCTAATCTGTTAGGGGGATGGATCTCTATGTCTTTTTATTTTTAGATGCAGGGTCTTGCTGTGTCACCTGGGCTAGAGTACAGTGGCTATTTGCAGGTGTGATCATAACACACTGTAGCCTCAAACCCCTGGGTTCAAGGGATCCTTCCATCTCAGCCTCCTAAGCAGCTGGGACTACAGATACATGCCACAGTGCCTGGCTGGGGCCTGTGTAATACACATTTCCTTTATTCCACTCTCAAACCCACCCAGTTGCCTGATACAGACCTGCAGGCAGAAGATTCTCAGTAAATCCTGGAAAAATCCTCATCAGTCTGCCCACAACCCACACGCTCAGGTTGTACCTCTGATTCCGTGGATGCATTTTTGCATTCACGTTGTGTGTTATTCCTTACAGCTCTCTGATGGGTGTGCACACCTCACTGGAGCCAGAAAAAGTCCTGTGCAAAGTAAAAACACCAAGGCCCTGCCCCTCTTACCACTGCCGTCTTCTGTATCCATTCCTTATCTTGTTCTAATTTCTTCCTACGACGAACAACACGGCGAGGCTGTTGGACTTTTTCTGTCTCGGGCTTCTCAGGTGTTGGTCGGGTCGGTACAGTAAATGTTAAAGTGGTCGTCTCTCCTGCCTTTAGAGCTGCCATTCAATCCAGTGATTGCATTGAGGACAATTTTGGTGGAAAAGAGAAAGGAAACTTAGATCTGTCTCTCTCAAGATGCCAGCGGGAGCTTGAGGATTTGGGAGATCTGCCATTTTTCCCCAGTAAGGAAGGCTGTCGGGTAGTGGAAAGATTAAGGCCTTTGAAGAGAGAAATGTTGGAGCTGACATTCCAGCTCGCTCCATTTGGTTACACAGTCACTCAGCATGTACTTATCAAGTGCCTCGCGTGTACCGGCCCAGTGCTAGATGCCTGGTCGACCTGTACAGATCGGGGGGCATGCGTGGGTGACACAGGGCTCTGACAGCTACAGCATAATGAGAGGAGCACTTACCCACTGAATGGTGTGGCTGCTAATTGAAAAAACAGGCTAAAGTCAGGGAGTCATCAAAAAAAGGAAACGCACTATAGACATGTTATTGTAACTTGAAACGGAAGTGTCTATTAACATGTCATTTCAAAGCTAAGGCAGGAGGCAGGTCTGATGACTGGGCTCTGTGATCATTTGTGCTCAAATCACGCCAGTAATTGATTGACTGATTGACTGAGACAGAATCTTGCTCAGTCGCCCAGGCTGAATGGCAGTGGCATGACCTTGGCTCACTGCAACCTCCGCCTCCTGGGTTCAAGTAATTCTTGTTCCTCAGCTGGGGTTATAGGCGTGTGCCACCACACCTGGCTAATGTAGCGATGAGGTTTTGCCATGTTGGCCAGGCTGGTCTTGAACTCCTGGCCTCAAGGGATTATCCTATTTTAGCTTCCCAAAGTGTTAAGATTATGGGCATGAGCCACCACCCCTGGCTAAGAGTGTGTGTGTGTGTGTGTGTGTATGTGTGTATGTGTGTGTATGTGTGTGTATGTGTGTGTATGTGTGTATGTGTGTGTATGTGTGTGTATGTGTGTATGTGTGTGTGTATGTGTGTATGTGTGTGTATGTGTATGTGTGTGTATGTGTGTATGTGTGTGTATGTGTGTATGTGTGTATGTGTGTGTATGTGTGTGTATGTGTGTATATGTGTGTGTATGTATGTATGTGTGTGTATGTGTGTATGTGTGTGTATGTGTGTATATGTGTGTGTATGTGTGTGTATGTGTGTGTGTATGTATGTATGTGTGTGTATGTGTGTATGTGTGTGTATGTGTGTATGTGTGTATGTGTGTGTATGTGTGTATATGTGTGTGTGTATGTGTGTGTATGTGTGTATGTGTGTGTATGTGTGTATGTGTGTATATGTGTGTGTATGTGTGTGTATGTGTATGTGTGTGTGTATGTGTGTATGTATGTGTGTGTGTGTGTGTATGTATGTGTGTGTATGTGTATGTGTGTGTATGTGTGTGTATATGTGTGTGTATGTGTGTGTGTATGTGTGTGTGTATGTGTGTGTGTATGTGTGTGTGTATGTGTGTGTATGTGTGTGTATGTGTGTGTGTATGTGTATGTGTGTGTATGTGTGTGTATATGTGTGTGTATGTGTGTGTGTATGTGTGTGTATGTGTGTGTGTATGTGTGTGTGTGTGTGTATGTGTGTGTTTTAAAGCTTGCAACCTAGTTTTTGTTTCATAGCAACAAGTTTCTTTTTATATTCATTTTGTCCATTTTTATAACAATTGAATTTTGGAACTAGTAAGGACAACTGAAAAACAAGTCTAATGCCTTTTGTTAAGTGTTTAACACAACAGTGGGAGCCGAGTGGCTGGAGCCATGGTGAGGGGCTTCCAGCTGTGGTATCAGCCAACACGCTTTTGGTGGGAGTGAGGAGCGCCAGCTCAGTACCTAAGGGGGAGCTCAGTTAGGAGAGTGCTGGGCGTCCCATCATTGAGGAGGGTGCTGTGTGTCCCATCATTGAGGCCAACACAGCCTGCCATGGGAACTCAGTTAGGAGAGTGCTGGGCGTCCCATCATTGAGGCCAACACAGCCTGCCATGAGACATCAGTTAGGAGGGTGCTGGGCGTCCCATCATTGAGGCCAACACAGCCTGCCATGAGACATCAGTTAGGAGGGTGCTGGGCGTCCCATCATTGAGGCCAACACAGCCTGCCATGAGACCTCAGGAGAGTGCTGTGCATCCCATCATTGAGGCCAACACAGCCTGCCATGAGACATCAGTTAGGACGGTGCTGGGCGTCCCATCATTGAGGAGAGTGCTATGCGTCCCACCATTGAGGCCAACACAGCCTGCCATGAGACATCAGTTAGGAGGGTGCTGGGCGTCCCATCATTGAGGCCAACACAGCCTGCCATGAGACATCAGTTAGGAGAGTGCTGGGCGTCCCATCATTGAGGCCAACACAGCCTGCCATGAGACATCAGTTAGGAGAGTGCTGGGTGTCCCATCATTGAGGCCAACACAGCCTGCCATGAGACATCAGTTAGGAGGGTGCTGGGCGTCCCATCATTGAGGCCAACACAGCCTGCCATGAGACATCAGTTAGGAGGGTGCTGGGCGTCCCATCATTGAGGCCAACACAGCCTGCCATGAGACATCAGTTAGGAGGGTGCTGGGCGTCCCATCATTGAGGCCAACACAGCCTGCCATGAGACATCAGTTAGGAGGGTGCTGGGCGTCCCATCATTGAGGAGGGTGCTGGGCGTCCCATCATTGAGGAGGGTGCTATGCGTCCCATCATTGAGGCCAACGCAGCCTGCCATGAGACATCAGTTAGGAGAGTGCTGGGCGTCCCACCATTGAGGCCAACACAGCCTGCCATGAGACATCAGTTAGGAGAGTGCTGGGCGTCCCATCATTGAGGCCAACACAGCCTGCCATGAGACATCAGTTAGGAGGGTGCTGTGCACCCCATCATTGAGGCCAACACAGCCTGCCATGAGACATCAGTTAGGAGGGTGCTGTGCTCCCCATCATTGAGGCCAACACAGCCTGCCATGAGACATCAGTTAGGAGGGTGCTGGGCGTCCCATCATTGAGGAGGGTGCTATGCGTCCCATCATCGAGGCCAACGCAGCCTGCCATGGGAACTCATGCGAGGGAACTTAACCAGGCTTTGATGCTGAGAAGACAGATCTCTAGCATGTGATGGAGGAGTCCCAGCATAAGCGCTGTGTGGTTGGAGGCTGGAGTGGGGATGGGTTAATGGTGACACAGGGTTCAGGAGAGGCAGGCAGGGCCCGCAGCAGCTATTCCTTAAGAGTTAGGTCAGGGGCATGAATTGGTACTGCGGGCAAGAGTACTCTCTTGAGAGGGAATTGGGCTGAGATGAGGCTCAGCAAGAACAAGTACTGTGATTGGTTAGCTATGCCTCCCATGAGGCTGGGTCCAGGCACCTGGAAGATATTGCGTATTATAGTTATGAATTTGTAAGTGAAGGCAGCTTAGTCCCTTCACTGAATTCTTCCGTGATTAGATCCAGGAAGCTGGCAATGTCCATGATTTGCAAATCTTAACAGCTGGACACAAATGTCTTTAGTCTCTTGGTAAAGGAGCGAGTTCTTTCCCAATTTTTGCATTAACATTCCTTTCCTGGATACCCCACTCCTCCAAATCTGTGTTAGACCCTTAGCGTGTGGTCCCACAGTGTTGACTTCCCACAGTCCATGTCACCGAAATGCCAGCTGACTCACTCTGTGTTTGGATCCCCCACCTGCCCCTGCCACCATGAGATGAACTCACTGGGGCCCCAGACTGTGTCTGTCATGCTCGGTATTTCACCCGTGGCAGTCAGGACCAAATTGGCCCTGTAGGCACTGAAGGGAGTGAATGAGCCATTCCATCTTCTCTACAGTACGTGCAGGAGGGGAGAGGTGGTGGACGTGGACAGGAGAGCTGGCACCGGGTGGAAAACTGGAGTGGTGCCTACCTTCACGTCTCCTCTTGATCCATAAGATTATTTCCTTGAACTTTTCATAATTTCTCTTCAACCTAAAAGTAAAGTGGATCATCATTAAAAGCCAAGACTAAGTCCATGCATTCATGCCATCACACCGTGCAGATGGTACGGGGATCTGCCAAGTCTTATGCAGGTAGAAATGGGGCCAATGGTCTCTGTTTTCTTCTATGCCCAGGAGTAAAGGGTTGGTTCCTGATATCCACTCAATGCTTCCCTCGTGGTCTAACTGACCCACAACCTGGGCACGTGGCCAAACCCTAAACCCTTTGAAATGAATTCAACAGGGATAATCTTGGGGGCAGTTTACAGGGCAGCAAGGTCCAAATGCAAGTATGGCCCTATGAGTTAACTCAGGCAGCTGGATTTGATTTTCTGTGGCTTGTCTATATTCCAGTGAGGGCTATGCCTGGAAATAGCTTGGAAAACCAGCCTTGCCTGTGAACTGGACAGAACCACCTGAAACCCCTTTGCATGGAATAGGACATTTTCAAATAGCCTTACTCAAAGGGACACAAGTCACAGCTCTTCAACGTGATCAAGCCCTTTTCTCCCTCTCATGTCAACACACAGAGTGAGTCATCCTGGCCTTTCAGTGGCGTGGACTGTTTTCCTTCCAAATAAGGGTGCTCCTCAGGGCAGCTGTGCTTTCTAGTTCTCAGATCAGAGCCCACTGGAAGGGGAATGTGCCAGAAAGAGTGAGGTTCCCAGGCTTAATTGGATCTGAAAAGAAGGCCTTTGCCCTTGCAGATTTTAAATCCTGAGATCAGATTCCCTGAAGAGGGCATACTAGTTGAGCCCAGAGTAACTCCAGGAAGCAAACATCCTTTGCTGGAAAGGGCTGCGCTGTGTTGCCTGGCACAGAGCAATGGTCCCCTTATTCATACCCTCGAAGCAATAGAGAAATTTGAGAATGAGTCCATGGTCCATTTGTACCAAATGTTACTCATTTTATATGCAAGGCCTTTCGATGGAATTGAAGTGGTTACCTAGCCTACTGGCACCTGTCGAAAAATAAGGGCCCAGGAATGGGTGGAGTAGGGGCTATCCTTTAGGCTCAGAGCAGGAAACCAAACACAGACACGAGTTAAACTCCAGTGACGGGATCTAGCTGAGGCGCCCAAGGCCCTTTTGGGAAGACTGGCTGTTCCTCTCTTGGTTTTTTGCCCACCATTGCAAGTGAGTGGAATTCCCATCAGCTGGCTCTTCAATACCAGAGCCTGGGTTACACACTACTGTACCGCTAGAGCCTAGATTAGCACATAGCAGATGCACAGGAAACATCTGTTGAATGCAATCAGATTATAATCAGCCTTTGACACAGGCGTAAATGGGAAGAGAGGGAGGAAATGGCACAGAGGCAGCGAAATAACTCATGGAGGTGTTGTTTGGTGTTTGTTTTTGCTCATCTGAAAGCTTGAGAGCTCTTTGTGTCTTGCCTATCCCTTTCCTAGAGGAGCCCTGGGGGTCTCTGGCCCCATGCCTCTATTGAGTCCACAGTAGAAGTTGCTAGCAGTCAATCTCTTCCTAATTTTTGTGAACACCTGAACTTGCCCATGTGATTAGGTAGGGCACCTTGTACCCCACGGCCTGTACCTGGTGCCACTGCTGGAGTTCTGTGACAGACCCGTGGGGACACAAAGACATACCTGGCTCTCCAGGTATCTGACAGTGGATAAAGGAAAGACCAGGCTTCCATGCTGAGAGCATGTCTACACCACAGGCTGGGTGTATGATATGGTTTGGCTGTGTCCCTACCCAGATTTTATCTTGAATTCCCATGTGTGGGGACAAGGACCTGGTGGGAGGTGACTGAATCACGTGGGCAAGTCTTTCCCATGCTGTTCTCGTGACAGTGAAAAAGTCTCAGCCGAGCGCGGTGGCTCACGCCTGTAATCCCAGCACTTTGGGAGGCCGAGGTGGGTGGATCACGAGGTCAAGAGATCGAGACCATCCTGGTCAACATGGTGAAACCCCGTCTCTACTAAAAATATGAAAAATTAGCTGGGCACGGTGGTGCGTGCCTGTAATCCCAGCTACTCAGGAGGCTGAGGCAGGAGAATTGCCTGAACCCAGGAGATGGAGGTTACAGTGAGCCGAGATCGCGCCATTGCACTCCAGCCTGGGTAACAAGAGCGAAACTCCGTCTCAAAAAAAAAAAAAGAAAAGAAAAAGTCTCAAGAGATCTGAATGTTACTATATGGGGGCGTTTCCCTGTATAAAATCTCTTTTCTTGTCTGCCGCTGTGTGAGATGTGCCTTTCACCTTCTGCCATTATTCTGAGGCCTCCCCAGCATGTGGAACTGTAAGTCCTTTAAAGATCTTTCTCTTGTCAATTGCCCAGTCTTGGATATGTCTTTATCAGCAGTGTGCAAAGGGACTAATACAGCTGTGTTAGCCCCGGTAGAGTGGTGCACTGCTTCAAGACAGCCGAAAATGTGGAAGTGACTTTGGAACTAGGTAACAGGAGGGTGTTGGAACAGTTTGGAGGTCTCAGAAGAAGACAGGAAAATGTGGGAAAGTTCGGAATTTCCTGGAGACTTGTTGAATGGCTTTGTCCAAAATGTTGTTGGCAATATGGACAAAAAAGTCCAGGCTGGGCTGGGCGCGGTGGCTCAAGCCTGTAATCCCAGCACTTTGGGAGGCCGAGGAGGGTGGATCACGAGGTCAAGAGATCAAGACCATCCTGGTCAACATGGTGAGACCCTGTCTCTACTAAAAATACAAAAAATTAGCTGGGCATGGTGGTGTGTGCCTGTAATCCCAGCTACTCAGGAGGCTGAGGCAGGAGAATTGCCTGAACCCAGGAGGCGGAGGTTGCGGTGAGCCGAGATCGCGCCATGGCACTCCAGCCTGGGTAACAAGCGAAACTCCGTCTCAAAAAAAAAAAAAAAGTCCAGGCCGAGGTGGTCTCCAATGGAGATGAGGAACGTTTTGGGAACTGGAGCAAAGGTGACTCTTGTTATGTTTTAGCAAAGAGACTGGCAGCCTTTTGCCCCTGCCCTAGAGATTTGTGAAACTTTGAACTTGAGGGAGATGATTTAGGGCAGCTGGCAGAAGGATTTTCTAAGCAGCAAAGTATTCAAGAGATGACTTGGGTGCTGTTGAAGGCATTTAGTGTTCTAAGGGAAGCAGAGCATAAAAATCCAGAACATTTGCAGCCTGACAATGCGATAGAAAGGAAAATTCCATTTTCTGAAGAGAAATTCAAGCCAGCTACAGAAATTTGCATACATAATGAGGAGCCGAGTGTTAATCCCCAAGACAATGGGGAAAATGTCTCCAGGGCATGTCAGAGGTCTTTCCAGAGACCCCTCCCATCACAGGCCCGCAGGCCTAGGAGTAAAAATGAATGGTTTCACGGACCAGGCCCAGGGTCCCTGTGCTGTGTGCAGCCTAAACACTTGGTGCCTTGCATCTAGCTGCTCTAGCCATGGCTGAGAGGGGCCAACATGGAGCTTGGGCCATGGCATCCGTGGGTGCAAACCCCAGGCCTTGGCGGCTTCTACATGGTGTTGAGCATATGTGTGCCCAGAAGTCAAGAACAGGGGCTTAGGAGCCTCCGCCTAGAGTTCAGAGGTTGTATGGGAATGCCCGGATGCCCAGGCAGAAGTTTGCTGTAGAGGCAGGGCCCTCATGGAGAATCTCTGCTAGGGCAGTGTGGAAGGGAAAATGTGGGGTGGGGGCCCCCACACAGAGTCCCTACTGGGCACCACCGAGTGGAGCTGTGAGAAGAGGGCCACCATCCTCCAGACCCCAGAATGGTGGGTCCACTGACAGCTTGCACTGTGCATTTGGAAGAGCCTCAGGCACTCAATGCCAACCCATAAAAGCAGCTGGGATGGAGGCTGTTTCCTGCAAAGCCACAGAGGCGGAGCTGCCCAAGACCATGGGAACCCACCTCTCGTATTAGTGTGATCTGGGTGTGAGACATGGAGTCAAAGGGGATCATTCTGGAACTTTAAGGTTTAATGACTGCCCTATTAGATTTCAGGCTTGCATGGGGCCTGTAGCCCCTTCGTTTTGGTCAAAATTTGCCAGTTGGAATAGCTGTATTTATCCAATGGCTGTATCCCCATTGTAATTAGGAAGTAATTAACTTGCTTTTGATTTTACAGTTCATAGGCAGAAGGGACTTGCCTTGTCTCAGATGAGACTTTGGACTGTGAACTTTTGGGTTAATGCTGAAGTGAGTTAAGACTTTGGGGGACTGTTGGGAAGGCATGACTGGTTTCCAAATGTGAGGACAGGAGACTGAGGGGGTTGCTGGCAGGATGGTATGGTTTGGCTGTGTCCCCACTCAAATCTCATCTTGAATTCCCACGTGTTGAATTACCCCATGGGAGATAATTGAATCATGGGGCAGGTCTTTCCCATACTCTTCTCATAATAGTGAATAAGTCTCACGAAATCTGATGGTTATTATAAGAGGGAGTTTCCCTGCACACGCTCTCTTCTCTCATCTGCCGCAATGTAAGATGTGCCTTTCACTTTCTGCCATGATTGTGAGTTCTCCTCAGTCACATAGAACTTTAAGTCCATTAAATCATTTTCTTTTGTAAATTTCCAAGTCTCAGGTCTTTATCAGCAGCATGAAAATGGGCTAATACAGTATATAAATGGCATTCTGGAACATTTTGTTCCTTGCCAGCTAGAAAAGATCTGCTCCCAGCGATACAGGTCTACACTAACCTTACCAGCTAGAAAGATCTAGCTGTTAGTCTACAGCAACCTTACAGGGGCCCTGGCCGTGACCCCAGATCAGTGAAGCTCAAGGCTCTCCCTCCTTCAGGATGCGTGGAAAAGCATCAGCGCACTTAGCATGAAGCCAGGGAATTTGGTGGGAGGATGTCCCAGGTCTTGACTCCCCAGTGTCTTAAGTGCCAGGGGTCTGAACTTTGCTCCGTAGACTTTTGTGCAAGTTCATGGTCCCTGCAAGGCATTTTCTTGCCCTGGATCTCCAGCCTCTGCCACCATCTGCTTGATCCTCTCCTGCACCTCCCATGCTTGCAGTGTCCTTGCTCTTGAGTTCTGATTTTGGTCTGGCAGCTGGATAATTCTGCCCATCTTACCCTTTCCCTGTGCTTGGCCTGTGCCTGCTCCTTGACTCAGGGGACCTGCCTGGCCCTGACTTTGCTCTTTTGGTTGCTCAATTTATATGCTCCCTGCTGCCACCTCTGGAACACCCAAATCCGCTGACGAACCACTCAGCCTCGCCAGTTACTTACATAATTAACAGTTTCCATCTGTTTTCACTTTCCAGTAGCCTAGGTAGGGGAATGTTGAAATCCTCTTCCAGTTCATTGCGAGCAGCCATTTCTTTGACTATTGCTTTAAACACTGCCTGATAGGAGCTGTTCGAAAGCTACAAGAGGACCAAAGAATGAAATATTCAGAAAATGGAAATTAATGACTTATTAATCATTTTTCTGACTCCCAAAGGTACTTTGTGACACTTCAACATATTATTCAAAAAACACAAAAATGGGAAGAAGGGGGCGGGGGGAGGAAGAGCATCAGGAAGAACGGCTAGTGGATGCTGGGCTCAGTACCTAGGTGCTGGGATGATGTGTGCAGCAAACCACCGTGGCACAGGCTTACCCACATCACAAACCTGCACATGCTGCACATGCACCCCTGAATTAAAAGTTGAAGACAGAGAACGGGAACCTCCAGAATGGTTAGCAAGAATTCCTTTAAAGAGTATTTCCATGATCTTTTTGAAGACATATACCCTCTTCTTGTTTCTCTGTTTCCTTAGGAAGTTTTTAGACATCAGTATGCCAAAAGGCCTTTTGGGAACATACAATTATCTTCTTTTTCCAAACATGGAGAGATGGGTTGGAATGTAAAAATGCTTTCATGCTTTAAGACTATAACAGGGTTTCATCGTTGTACAGATGGCCAAGCTCCCAGTGGTGGCTGAGTTATTCAATGTGAAGACTGAGTCTTCAGGAAAGTACCTCGTGCATCACTGTATTGGGCGGTTTTGCTTTTAAAGATTCTTCCTGAGTAATGACATTACAAGCTGCTTGTTTGTTTGTTTTTTGAGATGAGTTTCACACCGTCACCCAGGCTGGAGTGCAGTGGCATGATCTACGCTCCCTGCAACCTCCACCGCAGGTTCAAGTGATTCTTATGCCTCAACCTCTTGAGTGCCACCACACCCAGCTAACTTTTGTATTTTCAGTAGAGATGGGATTTTACCATGTTGGCCAGGCTGGTCTTGAACTCCTGGCCTCAAGTGATGCACCTGCTTCGGCTTCCCAGAGTGCTGGGGCTACAGGTGGGTGCAGGGGCCACAGCTCCTGTCCCCAAGCTGCCTTTTTATTTGGCCACTCTGATCATTCTGTCCCATGTCTGCGCTGCCGACTGGGACTGTTCTATCCCACGTCCATGCTGCTGACCAGGGCTGACCCATGGGTGGGCCTTCACTGGGGTTTCTGTTGTGGATCCCTTTGGATGGAAAGTGAAGCTGGCTTCTTGGAGAGGACGGCCAGGGATGGGTGGCGTTTCCTGTTCTTTGCTCACCAACAGGTTGAGATTGCTTCTGCTGTACAGCGTGCGATCATGGAGAATATACCATTAACTCACTAGCCTCTTACAGGCAAGTGGAAGACCAACATATCTGAAGATGCCCATGAGCTGGGACAGATACAAGGACATACTCATAGCTGGCTGCTGTTTCTAGGTCGGGGGGAAAGCTGGGGTGCTTAGGTCCAGCTTGCCTGACTCCTAGCCTCTGAGCCTGTCTCTCTTTCTCGAGTCAGTGCTTCTGCACAGGTTGAGGAGAAGGACTTGCTGCCCACATTCCTGCCTCTAAATTCCTCATTGTCAACAATCCTTTTTTTGGGATGAAGTGACTTTTTGTTTGCCTAGGCCAGCCATCTATCCCTGTGCCGTCTGCATTTTAGGTCCTGTCCTCCAGAAAATGCAGTGTCTGTTGTGGTCTGCAGGATGGCCAACCACCTGGGTGGGTCTAGTTGAGGTTATCTGGACTGTGCCACCCCAGTCTATGAAGCCAGCATACGTGTGACATCTTCTGGGGTTTATTCCATTTGCTTGCACAGCCTACAGAGTGGAACTAACTGCCATCATCGTGGGAGGTGTATTGGGCACCTCAGTGACGAGGTCTTCCATGCCTGGAGGCCTCTCCTGGGTTAATATGTGGTTCTTGCAACCAAAAGAATTTTCACAGCAAGGTTTGTGATGCATGAGTGTATCATTGAAATAAAGAATGAAGGCTGGGCATGGCCACTCACAGCCATAGTCCCAGCACTGTGGGAGGCCGAGGCAGGTGGAGTCCCAGCACTCTGGGAGGCCGAGGCAGGTGGAGTCCCAGCACTGTGGGAGGCCGAGGCAGGTGGAGTCCCAGCACTGTGGGAGGCCGAGGCAGGTGGACCAGTTGAGCCCAACTCTGTCGACAGTCTGATTTCATATTTTGAGTCTTCAGAACTATGAGACAGTCAATTTTGTTGTTCAAGCCACTCAAAGGTGGCACTGTGTTAACAACAGGCCTTAGCAAACGAATACAGATTCCAAACCAAAATCTTCAGCCAACAGCTTTCTCCCAGGACCTAGACTGCGTATTCTGGTTTTCAATTGAACTTTATCTGGATGTCTTGTGGGAACTTAATGCTCAGTGTGTACCAAATAGACCTTTCTACTTTACCCTCCAAATGTACCCTTCTTCTCATCTTCCACTTCTCAGCCTCTGGAGTATAAATCTACACCATCTCACAGCAGCTGTGCTGGGCACTGCCCCGAGCTGCCAGGCTTTCCCATTTGCTCATCTGTCCTGCTATATATTACTAATCTTCCTGCCCTGTGCCTCCCCCTCCAATTTATTATCCTCAAAGCCACCAGGGTGACCTTTAAAAATGCAAATTTGATCCTGTCCATGGAGAAATAACTCAGTACTGGTGGGGGCTTTGGCTAGATCCCCTATGCCATGTTCTTTCCCCCGAATAAATCCCACGTAGTTTTAATGAGATCCCTTGGGGAGCGAGAAGAAAACAACGAATGAATTATAAAAATTCTCTTGAGGAGTGAAAAGACTTCTGTACCCATGAAACAATAGTAATCAGAAAAGGGAACATTGCGACGTGAGACTACCTGCACATAAAAATGACCACATCGCGGAAAATACCAGGGAGTTTGGAAAACAAAAGGCAAACTGGAAAAAAATATACATGTATGCCAGGAAAAGAATCAAGGTCTTTCATATATGGAGAGCCCTTACAAATCAGAAAGAAAGAGAAATATGCACATGGGAGAAGAGAAGACAACACCCACTGGCCAGTCACAGAGACACAAATGACCAATAATTGTGACAACACCCAGCACCTTTCATAATGGAGGAGATGCAAAACCAACAGTGAGATGCTGTGTTCACCCTGTCAGATGGGCCAGAATTATGACCCTTGGTGGTTGAGGGTGTGATGAAGGAGGCGATCTCAAGCCCTCTAGGTGGGAATGGGAAAATGGTACAACTTACAGGAGGTGCCAGGGGGAGGAATTTGTCAATGTTTTTTGAATTAAAGATGAAGATAGCTCTGGGCCCAGCATCATTTGCATTTGTATGTAATAATATACGAATAATTCATTGCATTGAGAAAAATATATATATATAAATATCCAAGCTTTCCAAAATATGTTATTCAGGGAAAGGAAGTGATAGAACAGAGTGAACATCATGATTCCATTTGTGTTTTATCCATGCATGTGTTTTAAAAGACATATATGTGTGTATGCGTTAACATTTCCAGGATACATAAATAGCAGTTATTTCACTACTGTAAGGAAGTAGAGGCTTGACACATTATTTCCTGGCCTTCTTTACTACTTCGGTATTTTAAAATGGTGTGCACATGGTAGCTTCGCAAGGCAAAAGCTACAGAGTTGAGGTTGTTTGAATCAAAATACTTAAAAACAAGTCTGATAGTGTCACGCTCTTGCCTAAAATCCTGCAGTAGCATAGCTCTGAAATGCCTTGTGATGACAGCCCCTTGCTCAGGCACCTGTCCCAGGGAAGACTCTGGAACGCTCCCAAATCTGCCATGTCCTTCCAGAACCTACATGGAGGATGTGACTGTCACCTGAGAATGCGGTGCCACCTGATACAGCAAAGCATCAGTGGACAGGAGCTTGGAGTTTTCTGAATAATTTGTGTCTAATTAAAACAATTCCTCTAGGTTTCAACTCTAGTTGAAACATTTTTCCAAAACGCCCAATTTCACTTTCCTGCCTTTGTAAATCCAAAGCAGTAAATCTAAATTTATGTCACTTTTCCCCCCTTCATTGTAGTCTTTTAGTTTTCAAAAAGTAAATCTTAGTAATACAGTGCCGTGTAGAGGCAGGTATAGAATTTAGGGCTAAATATGAACTGAGACGAGACAGTTTCTCAATTAAAAACATTAAAAAATGAAATATCTAGTTTTTTTGCCTTTTCTTTTATAAATTTAGGAAAATATATCTGCTTAATTTTGGGTTCCAGAGACACAAGATTGCACGCTCAGCACTGTAGTCAGTACGTACAGTGCGAGAAGTCCTTAGCAGTCGAGGACAGGATGAACAAGAATGCTTCCCCCGGAATCGGCATGGGGTGTAAGCCCTACAGGTAAATTGATGCAGGAAATTCGAGCCACTAGGCTGCCCCTGCAGGCAAAACATTCGTGTGGCATATTTACAAAATTATAACAAAAATTTTGTTTTAAAGACAAGAAAACATCCAGTGGATGTAAGGCTTATCAAAACCATGATGACTCCCCGGCTCCTCTCTGGTGACTGGGAACAGCTGGGGAGAGCACCCTGTTGAATGTCCAGGGCTGGTTGTGTGTCCCTCTGCAGGGTGGTGGTTGTCACAGGCCTGCAAAGATGGGAGAGAAACACCACAATTTGTTGTGTCTACGTGGAGTAGAGAGGTTAGCGTCTGGCGTTGTCTGTCTTGCCAGGTTGCCCCATCTCCATGGGGAGGAGAAAGGAGGCTCTCCTGTCTGTGTGTGTTGGAGTTTGTGGGTTGCTGTCTTCTCTAACACCCAGTCTGGGATATATGAGGCAAAAAGAAAACCCAGGTCCTCAGATCCCAAGCCCTCAGCCAGCCTGCCTGGGCTGGGGCCACCCTGCTCCAACATTTGGAGGAAGCGGGGGGTCTCAGGTTTTTATCAACTTACATTTTCATCTAAGTCCTCCACTTCCAGCTTGTCAATGGACTCATCTGTTACACCATCCCAAAAGTCCTCTGTAGAAGCATACTCCACGACTTTCAGTTTTGGAAGGCATGTCGAAAGGAAGGGCATGTGGAAAGAAAATCAAAAGTATAAAACATTAAAAAAAATGGAAATAGATTGACGGTATTTAGCCTTGCCCTTCCAAAAAAAAAATGCAAACAAATGAGTTGTTAAATAGGTTAATCATAGGACCTAAAAATCAACTTGGGGGACTAATAGCAATAAGAGGGTTCGTTTCCGTGGCTGATTTAAGAAAGTGAGTGTGTGTTCCTGGTGGCTGGTGAGGGTCAGTCTGATGAAGTGGTCTTTGAATGAGTCCCAGGTGAAGTAAGGGAGTGTGCAGGCGAAGGCCATGGATGAGCATTCCCATGTATTCCAGCAGAGGACTAGGAGGTGCAAAGGCCCTGTGGTTAGTGTGGGAGGGGCACGTTTGACGCGCAGCAGGGGGAACCATATGATATGCCCGCAGTAGAGCGGGCAACTGCACAGCCTGAGGGGAGGTCAGAGAGGAGTTGGGGGTGACTGGGGGAGGGAGGAATAGGTGAGCAGGTGGTGGGCTAGGCCCAGCTTTCAAAGGACCTTGTAGGCCATGGGAAGGACTTTAGATTTTGTTCTAAGGGAGACTTATTCTGAGTGTGATTTTCAAATGGAAATTTCAAGGAACATATCTAACTTCCACCAGGCTTGTCAAAATTTGCCAATTTCTAGAATTGCATATGTTCATAATTACTAATCAGAGCATCAGAGATGAATCCCCAGGCCAGTGCGCTGGATGGAGAACGTCTTCCAGAGACAGTGAATGCTGCTGTTCCCCAAGGTCAGCTGCAGTCTGGCGGCTCTCCAGGCCAGGAGAGTGACTTAGAGCCTCTGGGGAGCCTGGGTGCAAACTGAATTGTGGAATTGATCAGTACAACTTGGGTCTCTCCCATACACCTGGGAAGGTGTGGATTTGAGAGAAGAGCTCAGAGGAAGTGGCTCTGGAGTGATAATTGGGCCCCTGGAAAACAATGGTGGACAATTGTCTCAGCTTCTGGCTGACACCAGCCCTTCCCAGCTGGCCCCTCTGGAGAGCCCGGGAACCCTACCAGGCTGACCCTGGACTGACATCCTGTTGGATTTTGTGTCCTTATTATGCCTTTGGGGATAGAGATGGGATGTTCTTTGCAATCTCTACATATTACTTTTGTTCTTCTTCCCAATTTTGCCTCCATAGCAAAAACTCTGACTCATTCGGGCTCCTCTTGGGATGGAGAATTTTACTGAGCTGGGGCTGCCTTTACCCACACAGGCCTGGGGCCTCTCTGCTTTCAAACCTTCTTCTGCCACCTTGGCTCGTGCCTGACAGACTTGCCATGATGTGGTGGGCCCCATGCTTCCAAATTCCCTGGCAATTCTTTTCCATCACTTCCCACAGGTGCCCACAATGCCACCGCCACCAGGATACCCACAGCAGGGCACAGGCAAGGGCATGCTCAGCTTGATTCTAAAAACACTACGTGTTCCCAAACTGTCTGCCACGGAAAAGACCAAGGAGATTTTAAAAAACCATTCAGGAAAACCTAGCAAGAATCCTTAGAAATTCAAGCAAGCACTGGGGAAGCTCCTTGTGGGTGTCATTAGAGAGGAGAAGTGAATGAATGGTAGAAAAGGGGCCTGGGAGACCAAGGAGCAGGCTGCGTGTAAGATGCTCTGAGCCTGTCTCAAATGTGCCTGCCTGGGATGGAGATGAGGACAGCTGTGTCCCTGGTAGCCCAGCAACTCCCCATCATTTGCATTTGCCATATTTTAGTAGTTTTTTTTCTTTGAATAATGCACAGTTAATTTGAAGTGGTTAAAAAAAGGAGGTGTTTAGTGTTTATCATGGGAAGAAGGTGAACTCAGCAGCACCGAACACTCAACAGGCGTGTCCAGGAACATTAATAATTGAGCTTATTAACATTGCTGGGCACTGTCAACATGTCAGGTGTAAATAAGCTTGTCATAGCTGTAACGAGCTGAATGAGAAGGAAGAGCCTTATTTCTGATTAACTTTCCCTTTGGGGACATCTGTCCCCCTCTACCTCTGTTCTAGTGAGATCATTATCTTCTCCTGAAGTCACTCCACGGGAGGATGGGAAGGGCCAGGGGGGAGTGTCAGGCCAAGATCGAGTGGCAGCCCTGGCATCCGGAACCTGGGCCACTTCCAGCATGTCCCCCTTGCACCCCGGCTCATTATATGTGCAATGGGACAATAAGACGCATCTTGAGGGTGGCTCAGAGGGGCTAATGCAGGTGATACTGTAGGTGCTAATGTAGGTCAACGCTAACACACTCCGTTCCCCAGGGGAAGCTTGTCTTCCCTGATCTGGTTAAGAACAAATCTTAATTCTTCCTTATTCAAGTGCCTCTCCTCTAACATTTTTCTTTTTTATTTAAAAAAAATTTTTTAGGTCGGGTGCAGTGGCTCAAGCCTGTAATCCCAGCACTTTGGGAGGCTGAGGCGGGTGGATCATGAGGTCAAGAGATCGAGACCATCCTGGTCAACATGGTGAAACCCCGTCTCTACTAAAAATACAAAGAATTAGCTGGGCATGGTGGCGCGTGCCTGTAATCCCAGCTACTCAGGAGGCTGAGGCAGGAGAATTGCCTGAACCCAGGAGGCGGAGGTTGCGGTGAGCCGAGATCGTGCCATTGCACTCCAGCCTGGGTAACAAGAGCGAAACTCCGTCTCAAAAAAAAAAAAAAAAAAAAACGTTTAGAGACAGGGTCTCTCTCGGTAGCCCAGGCTGAATTGCAGTGTTGTGCTCATGGCTCATTGTGATCTGGAATGCCTAGGCTCAAGCGATCCTCCCACCTCAGTCTCCTGAGTAGCTGGGACTACAGGCACATGCCACCATGCCTGATTAATATTTTAATTTTTTTGTAAAGATGAGTTCTTGCTATATTGCCCAGTCTAGTCTTAAACTCTTGGCCTCAAGTGATTCTCCCTTTGTGGCCTCCCAAAGTGCTTGGATTACAGGCATGAGCCACTGCACCCAGCCTCTTAATATTTTTCTTGACAGAGCCATCATTCTTGAATTTGGGATAAATGAGCTGTGTGTATTTGACCTGAGGCCATATACATACATACATATACACGTATGTGCGTGTGTGTTTCCCACGTTATGTGACAAAGATTCTTTGCTTGACCAAACTTTAGTTAGGCTTCCGTATCTTCTCCTAGGCCCATCTGTGCACTTCTTATAAAATCCAGTTTTAGCAAGAACATGCTAAGCTGGCTAACAAGAACCCCTGCCCTCATGAGGTTCTTCATCCTCCATCATCACCTGGGTAATATCTGATCACCTGACCCATCTTCAGCAAGAATCCTATTAGGTTGGTTTATTCAGAATCCCCCATGCCCCTGATGTTTCCTCTTAGTAATTTTCCCTCCACTGACCTCTACCCTGCTCCTTGGCTACAAATTCTCACTTGCCCGTGCTGTATTTGGACTAGAGTCCAAGCTCTTCCCCTCCTGCAAAATCTCATTGCTGTGGTCTCTAAACTTACTGTGGTTCTGAATAAAGTCTACTTACTGTGCTTTAACGAGTGTCAGTGAATAATTTTTCCCTTAACAATAGATGAGGAAAGGGAGTGAGAAGCAGTAAGTGACTAGTAAGTCACTAGCCCAGGACCAGCTCTGAGAAATGAGCACGCCAGTGCCACTGACTGATAAGCACACAGATGAAACTCAATCCTATTTTCACCTCCACGCTTCACAGTGAATTCCCTGCTATCCTAGGCTGATGGCTAAAGAGCTGGGTGGGCCTGGTGGCTGCTGTGGGCACAAATCTATAAAGTGTTCTAAAAATCTAGCTACTCAAACTGTGGTCCATGGATAAGAGAGCTTGTTAGAAAGATCAAATCTGGGCCGGGCGCGGTGGCTCACGCCTATAATCCCAGCACTTTGGGAGGCCAAGGCGGTTGGATCACGAGGTCAAGAGATCGAGACCATCCTGGTCAACATGGTGAAACCCCGTCTCTACTAAAAATACAAAAAATTAGCTGGGCATGGTGGTGTGTGCCTGTAATCCCAGCTACTCGGGAGGCTGAGGCAGGAGAATTGCCTGAACCCAGGAGGCGGAGGTTGCGGTGAGCCGAGATCACGCCATTGCATTCCAGCCTGGGTAACGAGCGCGAAACTCCGTCTCAAAAAAAAAAGAAAAAGATGCCACAGGACCCTGAATCTACCTGGAGAGGTGCAGGTATCCCAGCCAAGCACTGCCTCTGGGAATTCAGCAACCCTCTGAATGCTCTGAAGTGTGGAAGTCCCTAACCCAAGCTTTTGAATAGGAAGATGGACTTTCAGTCCTGTCCCTTCAGAAACCCTCTCTCTGTTTCTTGTTTTAGCCTCCTTCTTGAGGAGGTTCAGGGGCTGTGTGCCCAGCATGCCCCTCAGTCCCCTCTCGGCCCTGGGACACACTGGATTGGAGAAGGAGCCACCTGCCAGAGGCACCCTTCCCCACAGGGCACGCTGCAGAAAGCAGGGACCTGTGGATATATCATGTGAGACGCTCACCATCTTCTTCCTGTTTTTGCTGGACTTTAGTGTCAACATACTCTTAAAAAGAGAACAGGAAAACTTATGAAGAGGGTATGGTATGGTGAACTAGTCTGGACCTTTTAATTCCTGATGGAATCAACTTAAAAAATCACCTCCTAGGCAGCCGGGAAGCCTTAGGGTGGAGTGCACGTGTTTTGGGATAAGAGGCTTCCTTGATCTTCAGCAGTTGGAGGCCTGCAGCACATGCTCACCAAATATTGATTCCCCTTTTTTGTTGTTCTTATTGTATCTTGCCCACTGGAGTTTAGGCTCTGAGAGGGTGAGATGGGTTCTGTCTACTTTATATCCTGCCTCATATACAGCAAGGATACAGTAAATGTCATTGCCTTAACTAAGTATCTTCCCTCCTAATTGCAGTGATAAATATTGTTTCCTCTCCTTTCAAAACGCCACAGTGCTTTACCCTCTGGCTTACCTGAGCCTGGAGCCTTGACATTAAATTCCAGAAATAATGCCTTGGTCATTGGCCTCCATTAACCTTGCTCCATTCTAAAGTGGCCAATAGCGTGCTCTCCTTGGCTGGAGGAAGGCTAATTCTGTAACTCTTACCTTCCAGGATGGTGACTCCCTTCTACGGGCCATTAAAAACCATCATCAACTTTACCTTTAAAAGCAGCTTTCGTGGTGTTTTCTTGCTCTGTTGTTGATTTTGATTTTAAAGATTTTACTGTTAAAAGGCAGAAGAGGGTGTCCATTAGTGATCGAAACCTTACATTTTCCAGTGGGTTCAGACTGGGAATTTGGGGTCTCAGGTTCTTTATTGGCATCCAAGGCTGGTCAACAGTGGGGGGGATCTGAGGCTAGTGGGCACAGCCAGCACATATAGATGCCCCACTGCACCCCATCCCCTTTGGCCTTGGTAAATCTCTCTAGGATTGCAATAAATTAGAGGTCAGAAAATGTGACCTTGTTGTGGGCTTCTCCTCTGGTCACCGTAAGGCTAGTTTGGGTCCTCAGGATAGATGGAAGGGCTGAGGCAAGGTGGGAGGAAGATTTTAGAGGTACCTCTCCTGCTATGGGGACCATAGAGCCAAGTGGCTCCAAGGCCATGTAGACGCACAATGTGCATGCCTGTCACTGTACTAGTACCGTGTCTGTTCATTGCCAGGAGGTGTGTAATGGGGACTGGATGGGAAACAGGGGGACTGTCTAGGGTAGAGCTGCTGATATTTGCAATGGGAAGCTACTGTGTGTGTGTGTGTGTGAGTGCGTGCATGTGTGTGTGTATATATATTTAGGACTTTGTGTGTGTGTATGTCTGTATGTGTGTGTGTGTATTTAGAACTTTGTATGTGTATATATATGTGTGTGTATGTCTGTGTGTATGTGTGTATATGTGTGTGTATATATATAGGACTTTGTGTGTATGTCTGTGTATGTCTGTGTGTGTGTCTGTGTCTGTATATGTGTGTGTATGTGTGTCTGTGTATATATATTTAGAACTTTGTGTGTGTCTGTGTGTATGTCTGTGTGTGTGTCTGTGCGTGTCTGTATGCATGTGTGTAAGTGCGTGCATGTGTGTGTGTATATATATTTAGGACTTTGTGTGTGTGTATGTGTGTGTATATATAAGACTGTGTGTATGTCTGTGTGTCTGTGTATGCGTGTATGTCTATGTGTGTGTGTATGTATGTGTGTGTGTGTGTATATTAAGAACTTTGTATGTGTGTATATATGTGTGTGTGTATGTCTGTGTGTGTCTGTGTGTATGTGTGTATATGTGTGTATATATGTGTGTATATGTGTGTGTATATATATAGGACTTTGTGTGTGTCTGTGTCTGTATGTGTGTGTGTCTGTGTGTGTGTCTGCATGTGTGTGTATGCGTGCATGTGTGGGTGTGTGTGTGTCTGTGTGTGTGCGTGTGTGTCTGTATTCATGTGTGTGTCTGTGTGTATGCATGCATGTGTGTGTCTGTGTCTGTGTGTGTGCATGCATGTCTGTGTCTGTGTGTGTGTGTGTGTGTGTGTGTGTGTGTATTTAGGACTTTTGTAAGTTCTCGATTGCCCTTGTTTTCTGTCTTTGGAACTTTATGATCCCTATTCGTTTTTGCCTGTTTTACCCCCTGGTGTTTGTCTTCCTACTCCTAAATACTAAACACATGTGCACATGTGTGTGTATACACACACACAGACATACACATACACACATACATGCTCTACATTCCATTCTTTTTTTTTTTTTTTTTTTGGAGACGGAGTCTTACTCTGTTGCCCAGGCTAGAGTGCAATAGCGCAATCTCAGCTCACTGCAACCTCCACCTCCCAGGTTCAAGTAATCCTCCCCCCTCAGCCTCTCGAGTAGCTGGGACTACAGGGGTGCACCAGCACGACCAGCTAAGTTTTGTATTTTTAGTAGAGATGGGGTTTTGCCATGTTGGCCAGGCTGGTCTCGAACTCCTGATCTCAGGTGATCTGCCCACCTCAGCCTCTCAAAGTGCTGGGATTATAGGTGTGAGCCACTGTGTCTGGCCCATTCCATTCTTAATAGTAAGGACTAATAGGCCCATGATGAAAAAGCCAGGTAAGCTGCCCTATTAGCTTATGGGAGTGTCCTAAATTCAAGATGGACAGGGTACAAAACCAAAACCAAAACTTGTGTGTGGCCTGTGGCATTAAGAGGACTGAACACTTGCCATATCAGTGCCTACTAGTTCTTCAGCAAGAGGCTGGCACTTCTACACACAAGGAGCTCTCCAGTTTCAAGAAAACCCACTGTTCCATGGCATAGTTCTGACTGTAGAGAATAATTTTCTTTCTTACCATGTTTCCCTTGGATTGCATTAGTGTCCTGTTCTAGCCCTTCAGTCTGGAGTGTAAGACCCAGGTCTTGGTTTCGTGTGGCAGATTGTCAAATATTTAAAGTCGGTTTTTACATCTCAGAGTCATGTGTCTTCCAGACTTAACCTCCTCCTCTGCTTCAGCAGTTCTTGGAATGTTGAGTCTCCAGGTCACTGCCCAGGACACCAGCTCTTCTGCTGAGCCCCCGTCAAGCTGATTCTAGTTCTGAGTGTGCTATCCCCCAAGCTGAACGTGCCATTCCAGGGATGGCTCCCCAGTGCAGGGCAGAGCAGGATGAAATCCTCTTTACATACCCCTTCAGTTGCATCTGGTCGTGTTAACTTTTCTGGCAGTATTGACGTACTGAACTTGTGGCTGAAGAAACATCTAACAACAAACACGGCTTCATCCCTCTGCAATTCTCCAGCCTGCTGTTACTGGGGGCCTGAGAGCAGGGTCTGATGTCAATGACTGATATCTTTTATCCAGCTGATTCTGCTCCGATGTTTCCGCCTGCCAAAGTCTATTAGAATCTGATTATGTTATCCTCATTATTTGACAGCTTCAGGGAATCTACAAATATAAATATTCCCTCTAAATCTGCATCTAAGCCGATTATAAAATGTACTGGACGGAGCCCCGTGGCTCCCTGCTGGAAACCAGGTTGACTCTGATGTATGAAACGGCATCTTGGGGTGCTGTTCCATCTGTTATTACTGATGACATCATCTTACAGTGGCACCCAGCTACAGGAGCATCAGGGAGCCTTTGGAAATAAGACGTCTTGCGGAATTTCGCCCTGTGGGGTTTCCACAGTTCCCTGATCTAATAACCTTGTCGAAAAGTGACCTGGGCGTGGTGGCTCAAGCCTGTAATCCCAGCTCTTTGGGAGGCCGAGGCGGGTGGATCACGAGGTCAAGAGATCGAGACCATCCCGGTCAACATGGTGAAACCCCGTCTCTACTAAAAATACAAAAAATTAGCTGGGCATGGTGGCGCGCGCCTGTAATCCCAGCTACTCGGGAGGCTGAGGTAGGAGAATTGCCTGAACCCAGGAGGCGGAGGTTGTGGTGAGCCGAGATCGCGCCATTGCACTCCAGCCTGGGTAACAAGAGTGAAACTCCGTCTCAAAAAAAAAAGTGACCCAAAAGCCAGTGTCGCGTGATTGGCTCCTATCGATCTTAGGCTGGTTTCTTGTGGTGATTTGCTCTCATATTTGCCCCAGATTGGTCACAAACTGATTTCACCAACTTCCCACAATTCGTCGAAGACGCAGAGCAGGATTCTCTCACTGTGTACACGTTCTGAAGTACATTTTCTCCAGCAGTGACCATTCTCTTTGCATTTCTTTTCACCAACCTTTAGTTCCTGCGCTTTCTCACCTAATTTTGTTGTACTCTTTTCAGTTTGAGGATAATTTTCTTTCACGGTGAAGTGAAAATTAAATAACAATGGCAGAGCTTGACCCTTTGCTGGATCATTCCTCAACACGGCGCTCAGCGGCACAAGCCTGTCTTGATCTCTTTGGCTCAAAGATATTTTAAATGGGCCTCTGTCTTTCGTTGCTGCCTGTATGAGCACTGTCATTATTATTATTATGTTTTGGTAAGAATGTTTATTCCAGGATTGATTTAGCTTTCCTGACACTATTCTTAAAGTTCACAGCCATTTTCCTAAATGTATTATTGAGAACACCCTCATCTTTTTTTTTTTTTTTTTTTTAATGAGACGGAGTTTCGCTCTTGTTACCCAGGCTGGAGTGCAATGGTGCGATCTCGGCTCACCGCAACCTCCGCCTCCTGGGTTCAGGCAATTCTCCTGCCTCAGCCTCCTGAGTAGCTGGGATTACAGGCACGCACCACCACGCCCAGCTAATTTTTTTTATTTTTAGTAGAGACGGGGTTTCACCATGTTGACCAGGATGGTCTCGATCTCTTGACCTTGTGATCCACCCGCCTCGGCCTCCTCATCTTTGTAACCTCTGCATGTGATCTTTCAAAATCTGAGTCCACGGAAGGAAATACCAGTTTGCACTTTTGAGAGCTTTTAATCCTCTTCCCCATCTGATACGGTTTGGCTGTGTCGCCACCCAAATCTCATCTTGAATTGTAGCTCACATAATTTCCATGTGTTGCAGGAGGGACCTGGTGGGAGATAACTGGGTCATGGGGACGGTCTCCCCCATACTGTTCTCGCGGTGGTGAATAAGTCTCATGAGATCTGATGGTTTCACCATGGGAAACTCCTTTCCTTTGGTTCTCAGTTCTCGTGCCTGCTGCCATGTTAGACGTGCTTTTCGCCTTCCACCATGACTGTTAGCCCATTAACCTTCTTTTTCTTTATAAATTACCCAGTCTCGGGCATGTTTTTATCAGCAGCGAGAAAACAGACTAATCCACCGTCTGACCTCTGCTTACACCTCTGCCTGTCCTCACTCACGTTTCTCCACACACAGTGTTTCCGTGCATATTTCTATCTACAGGGCTCCTTTCCTACTAAGACCATTTTTTTATGGTAGGATATACCCTTTTATTACCATGATCTGACCTTGAATCAGATGAGGGTTTAACAACAGTTTCACAAGAATTTAATAAATATTCATGGGCGCTTACTGTGCCAGCACTAAGTCGGGAGGACTTCTGTGAGCATGGATGCAATGCTCTGTGTTTTTATGATTCTGCTCTGTGCCTGGATAGAGAGACACACGAGGCCATAACTAGTGTTTCTGGTCCTCCGCAGCGTCTCCTCATACAGATCATGAGGCATTTCCTGTGCCTGTTGAAACCTTTCCGTGTCAGTCCCGCCACCCTCTGGAGTCACAGATCTCAAGGATTTATCTGGGTATTTTTCCTCCATATTTGGCCAAAGTCCTATTTGTCGAGAAAGGCTGTGCCAGGTGGAACACCGTTTTTGACTCACTGTGGTTGAACAATCCCATAATAAAATCGTGCTTTAGAAGCAGAAGCCTGGAAGCCAATTCATCTTAAACTAGAGGTTCTCCGGTTCCTTGTCATTCGTGTGCCTGAGCAACCTCTTCTGGGGATCTGGTTAAGAATGCATATTCCAGGCTGTTTTAGGCAGGGATTCTGATGAGGGCTGGAGAGCCACATCTTCACAAAGTGCCTGGTGATAGGGACACCCAGTTTTGGGCCTTCTGGAGCGGCCGTGCCCATAGCTGGCCACCTCTTTGCTGGCTCCTGCTGGCCTCAGCTCCATGTGCCCAGTTCTCTGGGTCATGTTTGTCACGGTCGCCTGCGTTTTTCCAAGTAGCTGGGCAACTTCTTCTCTGGGCTGAAAGCGTTGCTTGTCTGCATCTGCCACACTTGGGAATCCTCAGTAATGTGTACCTCCCCCGCAGGAAGGCCGTTTCCCTCCTTCCTGCGTCCCTCTCCTCCACCACCTCTTGACGTGCTTTCGCACTTCCCCCCCTTCCTGGAGTTTCAGGCTTCCTGGTTCCTCTGTCACGCTCCGCAGCATGCGGCTAGCCTGCGTTCTATACCAAGCATGGGAAGGTGGACACTCCTCAGTGCTTCCTGTTTCATCTGGGACTGGCACCAGAGTATGTGCTTGTCTGGCGTGAGAACTGGAGCATTTCAAAGTCCGTGCGCAGGACGGCTTGGCAGAAAGCATGGGGGCTCACAGGTCCTGGGCTCCTCTGACCCCAGAAGGCTGCCGCTGGAGGTGGACCTTTCTGCGGCTTTCTTGGTCGCTGACTGGCTGTCTAGCTCATAAACATACTTATGACATTTCATGGTGACCCAGGGCCCAGGAGCTGCTAAATCTACCCTTTCTCTGTCCCTGTTTGTCACGCTTGTGCCGTTCCATTGGCTGGACACAGTCATATAGCTGTTGCCACCAATGCTCTCCATAAAGACAGATTGGAAACTACAGTTAGAAGGGGAAAGAAAAACCTCCACACGTTTTTAGGGAATTGTGTTTCGGTCTTTGTGATAATGACCATCCCCCCACCCCGAGTAACTGCAGGAATCTGGCGTGTCACTGAGCCTGGCTTGGAGGCTCCAACACAGTCCATATCTTTGGCTCAGGCCACCAACGTCACAATATTTGATCAGTGGACTTTTCCTGTGGGTGGTCAGACTTTTACTAAACACGCTGTCATGTTGGCTTTAAGGAACTCTGCATTGGAAAGAGACGTAGCTGCAAGATGTGCCCATGCAGAGCAAATATACACGGTACTTCCATCCTCAATGGCACAGACATCATCAGCCATATTAGTAAAGGTAATGAAGGGCAAATGAAACGCTGATTTTGGTGGCCCCTCTGTGGGCTGGGTCCACAGTGGTGTGAACAGGCTCCAGTCCCCCTGCCACATACTCCAGCCTTTCCCACCACCCTTCTCCTCTCCACATACTCCAGCCTTTCCCACCACCCTTCTCCTCTCCACATCCTTTCAAGCCTAGCACTGGCACTTGACTGGCAATTACCCAGTAAATGACTTTCAGAATCCTTCTTATGAATATTTAATAAATCCCCAGTTTTTCTCAGTGGTCATGCTTGCTCACTTTGAGATGATTCTGGTTCGTGGGCTCCGTGGGAGCGCACATGCTGAAAAAAGTCCCCAGTGAACCGCTGTAGCCTGTGAAACACTCCTCGGCACGTGCTGGCGGCGTGTGCCTGTCCTCTGCCTCTCCCTTCTCCCTTATGGGGTTTCTGGCTCCTAATTCCATTTAACCACATTTGTGCTACACAATTTAGCGGCCATGGAGAGGGGCAGGGAGGGGAGATGACGGGGGAATCTAATCTACTGCTGCCAGGACTACAGATGTGAAATAATTCTGTGAATCAGGGATGGGTCAATTTCACTGAAGCTGAATTTAAATCATTAACGATGGCAAGAAATGCTATTCAGTCTGCCGCCCCCAGGCTCCCAGAGCGAGGATCTGGGGGCTCAGTTGGGTAGACAATGAAGTCCCTTAATGCAATTTTGCCAGACTGTCTCCTGTGTGCCTTAGCTGTAGGCATGAAGGTTCACTACATGGACAGTATTGGCGGGTTCTGAATCAGGGCTGGCTTCAACCCCATGCTGAGACTGTCAGAGGTGGGCCCATGTCCCATTTTCCATTTTCCACATGATTATCTGGATATGGCCTGTCACCCCAGGGAGCCAGTGTGTAATCTGGGAATAAAATGGCCTGTGTCCCTGAGGGAAATTGTGCCTGTGCTCATATAGAACGAGACTAGGAAGACGAATGACAAACAGGGAGGAGACAGAAAGATGGAAGGAGCTATTTGCTTCAGCACGTTGCTGATGCTCTTTCTCTGAGGGGGGTCTGGGGTGGGAGGAAGCAGGAAGCAGGCTCTGAGGGGGGTCTGGGGTGGGAGGAAGCAGGAAGCAGGCTCGAGAGGAGTTAACATTTTACGCAAAACAAGACCTCGGAGGGCAATGGAAACAGTAGGGTGTCATGAGCGTGAGAGACGATACTCGCCACAGTGTTTCCCACGCACGAAACGCTGCCAGAGCCGTCCTCCCCGGCCCACAGAGCCGCGGACAGGGCACGGCTCCCCTCACCTGCGGCTCTGTCACAGTGCCAGTCTGTCTGACTGGCCTGGTTCCTCCTGTACAGTGTACGTAGCGACTCAGAAGACGCTGTGGCAGATCCAGAGGTGGGAGAAGGAGAAGGAAAAGCCAACGGGACGGGTAAGAAGGTGGTCACCTGAGACGGGCCAGCGTCTGGGCTCCTGTCGGAGGGGAGAACAGGAAGGTCACCTTCCAGATTGCGGCCAGGTCAGGAATCCCTCCTAAGGCACGCCGGGGGTTGATGTCCACACCCAGATGGTGGACATCCCGAGGTTTGAAGAGACAAGCCGTGAGTTGTGAATGACAGGCCAGCGTGTCGTCACTCTGGGCAGCAGAGCCACACGCTGCCCACAGAGCCACTTCACTACACCACGAGGAGATCTGTGGGTGCCTTCGAAGGCCACTGGGCCAGGCGATCATAACTGACAGACGTTCCAGAAGGTTCTCCTTCCTTCCCGGCACACAACCCTCCTTATTCTAGTGCTCTCCCTGCCTCACAGTTTTTCTGGGCAGAGTGGAAAAGTTACTGAATGAGATGCCGCAGCAGTTTAAAATCAAGCACTGAGATCTGTCGCTGCAGTGGGCTCCCCACAAACACTGCCACCATTAAGAAGGCTTTCCTAAGGGCCTGGTGGCAGGGCACTGGGTGTGAGGTGCAGGCCCCACTACCTGGCAGCTTAGGATCAAGAGGGGTGACCCTGAGACATCCACCCACTCAATTCTCTTTATCATGAGTCTCTGGCTTTTAACTAGGGGCAAGAAACTGTAATTCAAATGAATGAGACAGGTCTTTGGGGTGCTTTGGCCCTGGTGTTATTTCATGTCAACTGGTCCGGTTGGCAGAGATGGGCACAAGGAAATGCCCAACATATAAATAGATGGTGGCTATGGTTGGTAGAAAAGGTATAGACTTTGGTGTCAGCTCTTGACACCTGACCTTACGTGTTGGCTCCTGCAAAACAGTGGAGGCGCTTGGGGAAAGTTACCTGTTTGCTGCTGCTCTTGCAGGGGAAGTAAGATTGGCCTGTCCCCATCTGCACCAGGGAATTCAGTGTAGGGCAGGGGGTCTGGTAAGGGCTGGAGTCTGGGTAAGGGCTCAGGCAAAGAGGCGGAGGGAGGGAGCAGAAGGCTGCTTGTTCTCACAGTTGGGTGCCCTGGGAAGGCTCCCTTCAGGGTCTATTGGAGTTACAGGCAGATCTTGTGGGTGCTTCTGAGGGACCAGTAGGAGAGCTTGGGTCTGTGCCAGCCCTGCAGGCTGGGGCAGAGCAGCGTGTTCTCAGGACACACATCAAGAAGGGGCCCCGGGCAAGTGGCCAGATGTTTGGGTCTTAGGTCAGGTGCCCAAAGGGATGAAGAACAGGCAGATGCAAGTGAGTTCTTTAGGCCTGTGTTATTAACTCTTGCCCTGCTGCAGACCCCAAGGCCAGGTGAGGAGTCTCCAGGGCCTCAGTTCCTTTATCCTTCTAGCAAGATGATGTCTGTCGTATCTCACTCACCTGGTGCCCACGGGGACCCACAGAGATGATGCTAGTCCTCATGAAAGGACTTAGAAAAGTCAAATCTGCCCAGCAAACTTAGAGACTTATCTCAGAATATTAGCCTCTCTGGTCATTTCCACCATGATGTACATTTGCCCCCTACCCTTTCTGGGGTTCCTGCCAGGGCTCACCTCCTGGGAAGCAGAGCCCAGTTCCAGCCACCTGGGCTGACTGCCAGCTCCGTCTTCCATTGCAATGGAGAGGCCACAGGGAGGAGCTGTTGGATCCTGGGTCCCGGGGAGTTGGACCGCTTGAGGCCTGCTTCTGCAGTGCTTTAGCAAGAGGAGGGCCAGGCGTGTGCCTGGAGGACCTTCGGCAAGTGGGGAAGTGGGAGAGGGAGCTGCTCCTGGCCTGGGCTGGCGGATAGCCTTGTGTTTATAAGGGACGCGTGACACGCTTCCCTGTACCTGCTATCCTTCCCCAACCCTTGCCTCTCACACACGTGCACGTGTGAATGTAACACTTCTTGCTTAAAGGAGTCTGTGGAAGGTTTGGGTTCTCAGCTTTCTTATGTGAAGAATATCCTGGGCCTCTCTAAGAACTTGGAGGCCCAGTGGCCCTTGGGGGACCCAAGCCTGGTGTGGACACCAGGAAGGCTCCCCAGGGCCTCTCTGATCCTCACAGCTCTCCATGGGCCCTGGGAGCCCATTGGAAACCCCCCTCAGCTAAAGTATACAGAGGATTGGCTGAGTGCGAGTGTCTGGAATACAGCTGAGCAGGAACCCTGACTCTTGTTCCAGGCATGCTAAGTTTTCCGCCCGGTGGTTTGTGGGGTGCAGAACAGAGGATGGCACGGATCTGTGGCACTTACTGAGAGCGTGCTGTGTGCTGGCCACTGTTTAGCCTCTGAGTAAATACACATGTCATTCTCACCCAGACCCCGTGAGGCTGGAAGTCTTCCTCTCCCCATTTTACAGATGAAGAGACTGAGGTACAAGGAGATTAAGTGGCTGCCCTGTAGATGCTTGGGTGGAGGAGCTCAGTTTCAAACCCAGACAGTCTGGCTCCAGAGCCCCATTCTCAGCATCTTTAAGGTGGTGACGTCACCGTTGGGCCCCTTCCCTGTGTGTGGCCACGCTGCTTCGCATGCTTTGAGTGTCAGCGCTCGGGGTGAACCGGGGGCCTTTGGAAAGCCCCGCCCTGTTTGCGCATCACCTGCAGCAGAGCCAGCTGTCAGAGGCCTTGCAGCACCCCTGGAGGTGTGCATTGGGGAGCAGAGTGGCAGTGCAGAGCTGGAGTGGGGGCTGCCTCACCAGCTGAAGTGGCGGGCCCGTGTGGGAGCCATGTGCCTACAAGTTGTAACTTATGGGCTCCCCACATGGCAAAACTGGGATTTCATTCCTACTTCTTGCCATAACCAAACTGGCCCTGTGCTTTTTTTTTAGATCTAGTTTTAACCCACTTCACCAGTAGAGAGAAATGATCCTTTGGGGGAAATTGTAGGGTATAAGACACAAAGCCAAGGACAAGGCTGGGGTGGCCCTGCAGTCGTTTTCCAGAGCTGGGCACGTAGCAGGCCCAGCATATTCCACAGAGGCTTTGCCCACCGTCTGGTGTGTGCCAAGTCCTGCCACAGGATCTTAATGAGTCTTCACTGAATGAGAATTCAGACCTTGGAAACATGCCTGAGCTTATTCTCTTCCTGGACAGACTGCACCATCCCTTGGGGGAAATCATTCATCTGCTCCCCTGAGAGGCCTGCCAGGGAGCCCTTTGCAGTTTCTCCTGGTTGAGATCTTTCCCCAGACTCAGACGACCTTTGCCCCTTTCTTTTTTTTTTTTTAATTACATTTTAGGTTTTGGGGTACATGTGCAGAACATGCAAGATAGTTGCATAGGTACACACGGCAGTGTTTTGCTGCCTTCCTCCCCTTCACCCACATTTGGCCCCTTTCATCTCCAGTGGTTCTGAGCACCCAGGACTCTGATCTTGGGACCCACCCCTGCTCTGTGAGTGACTGAGTGTCAGAGGCAAGCAGGGTTGTAACTTCCGGGAGCCCCACTAAACTCCTTCCTCCCCTACCCCATGCCACGCCCCGTCTTGGGTTCTCCAAGGGCTCCTGAAACACGATTTATCCCAAAAGAAAACGATTACCTTGTATCACGAAGAAACATGGTGTGTGATGAGTAACTTGCCTTGGGTTCTATTGGAAAAAAGAACAAAAAAAAAATTGGCAAAAAAGCATCTTTCTATTTAAAAATGTGTTGTTAAGTATGTGCCACTAGGGTGGGGTGGAGAGGGCCCCAGTCACAGAAATGTTCTATTTTCACTTTGGTATTGTCTGTCAATGGTTTCCTTTAAGAATGACTAGGTTGAAATGTTGTAAAATTAGAACTCCAGAAGATACTTCTCAGGCAGTCACGGATTTTGGAAATTAGAGTTTGCTTTGCTTTTCTCTATGGTTACCCAGAAGTCTCCCTCCGTCCTGGGATGAAGGGCGTCTGTACAGCGGAGGTGACTGAGGTGCACGGATATATGTATTTTAAGAATTATTTTTAATTTTAAAGGACCCGCTTGTGTCACGGAATCACCTGATTGTTTGCCTTGAATGATGTGGCATCAAGAATTTCTGGTACACTTGGGATAAAATACGCCACCAATTCTAATAATACAAAATGGCCACAGTGGAAGAAATAGAGAAACGAGAACCAGAGCATTTAAATTGGGAGGGAAAGGTGGACACTTCCACTTATCCAGAGCTCACCCTTGCAGCGAAACAGGATTGAGGAATATCCCTTGGCTATTAAAATGGTCTCGGTAAAAATTAAGCAACATGGGCAAATGGCAAAGTTATAATACCAGGTTACAAAAGTAAAATACTAACTTGTATAGACAGCGTGTTTAAAACAGCAAAAACCAAACCACACAGCAAGGACATCACTACCAACAATGCAGATGGTGCCGGCAGAAAGACAGAATGCCGATCCCTTCCGTGCGCATTAGCTTCACTTCCGTGCGAGTGTTTGCAGGTTGGGGACATCTTTCTACTTCTCACTTTTCAACTTTTCCACTTTTTAAAGACAGGAACAAGAAGAGATTTTTTTTTTCGATGTCACTTTTCCAAAATTAAAATAGGCACACAACTTATGAAAGAGCAGAAACAAAGCATGAAAGGAGGAGAGAAGGAAAGGAGGAGACGCTACTGGAAGGGAAGAGAAAGCCTGGGAGCCTGTCCTGGCCCTTCTAATGATTTTCTGTGACTTCAGAGGTAGTCACATACCCTCTCTCTAGCTCCAAGTTGCTTATCCGGGAAATGGGCAGGGAGATAATGGTTGGGACAATTGAAGGAGAGATTGTGAAATAGACAATACGCACCCTTTGCCATTGGACTATGTTCCCTAAGGGTCATTGGGACAAGACACATGCAGAAAATGATGCTGCTTGTTGGGAGCACAGTGGAGGCAGAAGCAACCGGCTCTGGGGCTCAGCATCCCCCAACCCAGCAATGGCTGACTCAAGGTCACAGAGGTGAATTTCCTTGCATCAAAAGTTGGCTGGCTTTCTCATCTCTGCCTTGTTAGTATTTCTTGCACCTTTCTTCTGAAATTTCCAGAACTGCTAGGTTCCCTGTTGGAAATGGCAGTTGGGACACCAACTCTCAACTGGAAATGGCAAGAATGACAGCATTTAGGTCACACAACATTCGGAGCTGCTGAGGAGGAGCTAGTGGGGTACAGAAAATAAAATCCAACGCATTATGTATATCAAAAGACTAGGCAAGGCTGGCGCTGTGGCTCATGCCTGTAATCACAGCACTTTGGGAGGTCAAGGTGGGCAGATCATGAGGTTGGGAGTCCGAGACCAGCCTGGCCAACATGGTGAAACTCCATCTCTACTAAAAATACAAAAATTAGCCAGGCATGGTGGCAGGTGCCTATAATCCCAGCTACTCGGGAGGCTGAGGCAGGAGAATTTCTTGAACCCAGGAGGTGGAGGTTGCAGTGAGCCGAGTTTGTGCCATTGCACTCCAGCCTGGGTGACAGACTGAGAGAGCAAGACTCTGTCTAAAAAAAAAAAAAGGCAAAACCACGATGAATCAATGTACTGTGACATATCTATGGCCACAGGGCAGAATTATCATTAGGAATGTCTTGGGCACTAAAAACAACACTAAAAGGGGGTCTCATTATCGGGTGGTTTCACTCTACAGAAGGTTCTATTGCAGGAGGAGAGCAGTGTAGCCTGTAGGCCCGTCTAGCACCTTTCTTGTAAGATTATAGAGGAGTATTTTATACCTTACAATTGTATGGTGCAGGGGAACTTTCAAAGCAGTTTCAGACATGTTACTTCATTTACTGGTTGCAAACCATTGTGAGAAAGGTGTTTTTGAACATGGGGAAACTGAAACCCAGACATCCCCAAATCTAGGCCCCACCATGTGCTGGGTTTTCTGAGCTGGACACCACAGCACTCACACCCATGTTATACACCCAAAATCTGAACTCCCACAGCAGGCCAGTCAGATGCAACTAACAAATTACTCACTGACAATTGATGCTGCATTGATATTTAAGCTGCTCACCTAATTTTACTGGATTTCCCCATAAACTCTGCGGGGACCAACCCTTGAAGGAAGAGAGGTGGGTGCGGGTTGTTGGTCTGATGTAACCAGATTTGTCCAGGGCTATGGGAGTCCCTGAAGTTGACTGGCCTGTAGGGTGGATGAATGGAGGGTATAGATCCCTCCCATAGCCTGGTTCATTGTATTTTGTCTTTTGGTTACGTCCATTTCACAAAGCAGGTAATGTGGCTAGGGGTGTGTGGCCAGGCACAAGTCAATGGCAAGGGAATAATAATACATCATGTAATATAATGATACTTACAATGGCTAACACTTGGTTAGGCCTTAAATGCTCTGAGCTTGGCATATCACTTGATGATTTACCTAATTTAACCCCTTTAATCCTCCTACGTATCCTATGAGGTAGATCTCATGCTGTTCCTGTTTACAGTAAAGGCAACTAAGACTATGGAGCGGTTAAGTCACTTGCCCAAGTTCATGCAACTAGTGAGGCACTAAAAAAAACCCCTAAAAGGGGGTCTCATTATCGGGTGGTGTCGCTCTACAGTAGGTTCTATTGCAGGAGGAGAGCAGTGTAGCCTGTAGGCCCGTCTAGCACCTTTCTAGAGAGAGCTGGCATTCACACGGAGGGAGTCAAGCCCCCGAGAGAAAGGAAAATGTGCTCTTGTGACAGACTCCTATCTGCTGTTACGTAGACGGAGAAATGGCACTGAGGCTCCCGCTTCACTGTCTGCTCCTGTGGCAGACACCACTAGTCGATCATAGCACTCTTTGCTGCTGAGCCCAGACAAGGCCTCAATTCTTCTCAGTGTAGTTTTCCACTACTAACCTCTAGTAGTTAACGCATCAGCATGTGAGATAAGCCCATTCGTCATATCTAGTGCTCATTTTATAGATGCCGATTAATGGATAAACTGTAAATAAATGTGTGTGTACCTGTGTATGTATGAGTGTGACTGGCTTTAGAAACTGAATCTGATCACTCGATTCAATTCACATGTACGGAGCGTCTGCTGTAGGTCAGGAAGGCACTCTTGCTACTCACTGAGGTTCAACAAAGGGGTAAACAAAGTTATATCTTAAGGGTATTAGCAGAATATTATACACAAAAATATTGACATATTTTTTGAAACATTAAGAAATTTCTTCTTAACCTGTTTTGTACAGTCTGATGTGAAATCCTAGAATTTCATAGACCAAGAAATTCTTCCGTGAGTCCTGAAAGGCATGTCGGCATCTCCCTGGTGTTTTTTCAGTGCCTCTCCAATTTCTGTTAGCAGGACATTCATTTTCAAAGTGTTTGCTTTGCACACAGTTGCATTCCCTTGGCAGCACTATACTTGTCCTGCTCTGGTGGGTGACACATTTACGAAGACCCAGCACATAGAGGGGACATGTTAAGAATGCTTGATTCATACAGTGCAGGAGAAAAAGCCCTGAATGCTATTTTTCAGTATTAGAATTACATTTGATACCGGAACAGCAGGGATATTAGGCTTCCAAGAAGGAGCTTAATGGTAGAGGCATACAGAAAAGAGAGTGCCCAGCAATAGTGGAATTACCTCTCCAAAGCAACAACTAAATTTCCAGGAGACGAGCAGGAATCCAGGATGGCACATCTGATTTGATGAAGGCAAAATGCCTGAGGGGCTGCAGAGAATACCCAGCTTTTAGGATGTAGGTTGTGGTCATCAGCTATTGAGGAATTTAGAAATTCAGGCTGTGTAGGATTCTTGCAGTTGGTAGCAGAACTGGATCCAGGAAAATAGTTTAGTTCTACTTAAAAGCCAACATGAAGATGATGTGGGTGACCTGAACCTCTACCTTTCTGTGCTGGTTGAAAATGGCTGTGTTGTCAGGACATCAAGACAGGACACCACAGGGGCATATGAGCAAATGCACATGAGTCACTGCCAGCAAATAGCACAAGGAGGCTGCTGCCGACATGAGGAAACGCTGCCAGTCGCTGAAACAGTGCTGGGCAAACAGCCCTTGGATGAGGAAAGTTACTCCGACGTCAAATACTTCAGCACAGACTGAAATGATTCCTTTCCGGGGGCAGAGTGGGTGTCCTGAGATGCACACCAGTGTCTGCTGACCTAGCAACAGAATGTGGGCATGTGTTCCAGGAAACAGAGATCTCTGATGAAACAGTTCACCAAAATGCCATTTTAAAAAAGTACCAAGAAATTGGAAGCAATAAATGGTCAATATTAAGAGATGGATGAAAAATATTACAGCTTCTCAGTACAACTCAGTGTGATGCAGTCAGTAGAATGATCTTTTGAAAGCTTGATGACATTAAACATGTACAGTGTTAAATGATATATCAGTCAACAGTGTTTAATTATAACATAAATAGATAATAAGTATGTCTTTGAAAGCAGGTTACAGATGTAATATAAAGCATGATCCTTTTATGAAAGGGATGTGTGTCTATATGTGTATATAAATATATGCATGTGTGTATATATATATATATAATATACATCTGGGGAAGATATAATCAAAAGTGTAGAAAGTGATGATCATCTTTGATAGTCAAGTGGTGGTGATTTTTGCTTTCTTTTTGCTTATATATAGTTTCTTTCTTTCTTCTCTCTCTTTTTTTTAATAGATGAGCATTCTGTCACCCAGGCTACTCAAAATCCTTGGCTCAAGTGATCCTCACATCTCAGCCTCCTCGGTAGCTGGGACCACAGGCATACGCCACCACACCAGACTAAATTTTAAATTTTTCTGTAGAGATGAGGTGTCGCCATGTTGCCCAGGCTGGTCTCAAACCCGTGACTTCTCACTATCCTCCCACCTTGGCCTCCCAAACTGCTGGAACTGCAGGTGTGAGCCACTGTGCCTGGGCTGCTTATATACAGTTTCTAAAACATCTGCAGTGAACATGTATTACTTATGTAACGTGAAAAAGGAAAGATGCAAATGATGACTCTTACTACAGACAGGTGTTTATGGAGCCTTCCTGCCTGCTTTGCCGGCGCAGTGCTTTGGGGCAAGGCTGTTGCATTACAGCTGTGAGCAGAACCTGCTCAGTAAATGCATCTTCCTACCTGTCAGCACCGTGTTTACAGTTGCCAATTTTCGCTCTGGATCTTTCTCAGGTTTGTGCTCTTTACCTGGGCCTCGTGGTAAACTAGAGCTCCCATCCTTTGGGAGGCCCTGCTCCAGGTACTCATCCCCTCCCAGATACTCTTCCTCATCCAGACCCTCTTTCCCTTTCAGATACTTTTCCTCCCAGAGATGCTCTCCCTCCTCCAGATACTCACCTTCTCTCAGATACTTGTTATACAAATTTTCTTTTCCATCCAGATTCTCTTCTTCCTCCAAAGATTCTTTCTCCTCCAGATCCTCTTCCTTCTCCAGATCCTCTTCCTCTTCTAGATACTCTTCTTTTCCCAGATCCTCTTCCTCTTCTAGATACTCTTCTTTTCCCAGATCCTCTTCCTCCTCCAGATCCTCTTCCTCCTCCAGAGACTCTCCCTCTGTAGAAAATGGAGATTCATCCTGTAGACGTTCCTCATCCAGTTCTACTTCAGTATCCTCGTTTTCTGAAGGTGAAGTCTGTGTGGAACACTGGGGAGATAAGGGAGGGCGAGGAGGTGATGCTCCTGGTGACTGACTGTTTTCAGCAGACATGCTGGGGAAATCGTGGGCGGTGAACTCCTTCCGCAGGAGCCAACGTCACTCCATCATCCTGTATCCAAGAAAACAATAAAATCCTATTAGCCAGTAATAGCAATTGCATATTGATTTAAACCCATTTTTGTTCACTTACTCAGTGGTCTTTGGAGAGCTCCTAAGTATGCAGATCAGTACATAGTGACCAGTGAAAAAGGCACAAGAAGAGGGAACGGAGGCTTCCCTCAATGCGCTGGGTGGGGAGACCGCACCTGAAGGCCAGGCCTTCAAAACCGCTGCACAATATGAGGGCGATGGGGAGGGCTGGAAAGCAATCATTGTTTAGTGGTGCTGTCACTGGAGGTTTTTATTTTTCATTAAGTATTTATTGCCACAATAAATAAGATAGAGACTGTCTTCCAGGAGCTTGAAATCTGAGGAGAAAGGAGTCACAACAAACAGGTTTCTAAACACAGTGACCAACACAATGGAAGGGGTGCCCACCGAGTGGGATGGACACAGAGCCTGGGGCTTCTGGTCAGTTAAGACTCCTATGGCCAGAAGTGTGTGGGGCATATCCTCATGGCTGCCACATGCACTGTCAACCCTGCCCGCAGCACCACCCACTGTCAGCTCGCCAGGCAAATGCTATATATGTTTTAACACTGAGCATCTTGATGCCTCCAGGGAGGCTTCCAGGCTCCCTCTTCTGTTCCATCCATGTCTTCTATATTTTTTTACTAAGGTAACTATTTTGCTTTATTAAATTGTTTGCATACTTGTCCTTCCAACAGCGTAAGCTCCTTAAAGGCAGGAGGGGGCAGTGTCATTCTTTTTTGAAAATAGATTTTGAATCCTTCCCCTCCCCCTCTTCTCCTCTGTGGCCCACTGTGATTCCCCATGGTGAGCGCCCCATCTCTAAACTGAATTTCTGGCTTTCCTGAGACGCCTGCCACTGCTCTGCCAGTCATTTGCTGCAAAGAGTGTTCTTGTAAAAATATAAATCAAATCAGGATTTCCTCTGCTTAAAATCTCCCAGTGGCTTTCTGGTGTGCTTAGAATATGGTGTCAACTCCGTTCCATGCCTGCCTGTCTTTCTGACCTTATCTATCCCCATCCCTCCTCCCCTGTCCCCACCGTGTCACTCTCTCCTACAGCACTTATCAGTGTGGCTAATTATGTGTCCACTTCTGTGTGGACTTGTTCAATTTTTCTCTTCCACCAGGTGTAAGTGTCTCAATGATAGTGACCTTTTAAAATTCGTTCCCCACTGTATCTCCGATGGTTATCTTGGAGCCTGGTGCATAACAGATGTCCAGTAAATATATGGCCAGTGACTGAATGAAGGGCCAGGAAGAGGTGGCTCGATAGCAGGGCACCCTGAAGGTTTGAAAATGACATTTATTCTGCACAATAGGACACACGGGAGAGGCAACTGGTCCAGAATCCTTCTGCTTGCTCTGGGGACTTAAGAGATAGATTTCTCAGCCTGCATCTTTCTGGGTATCTGAGTGGGAAGCTCTGTTCTAGGGAACCAGCCAGACGAGACCACCAGGATCAATGATAGCAAATGCAGCATGGTGTCCAAGGCAAGGGGTATCATGGACAAGGCCACTCATCACGGGGGAATGGCACACTCATCCACCTGCATGACTGTTGGTGATGGACAAGGCCACTCATCACGGGGGAATGGCACACTCATCCACCTGCATGACTGTTGGTGATGGACAAGGCCACTCATCACGGGGGAACGGCATACTCATCCACCTGCATGACTGTTGGTGATGGACAAGGCCACTCATCATGGGGGGACACTCATCCACCTGCATGACTATTGGTGATGGACAAGGCCACTCATCACAGGGGAACAGCACACTCATCCACCTGCATGACTGTTGGTGATGGACAAGGCCACTCATCACCGGGGAACGGCACACTCATCCACCTGCATGACTGTTGGTGATGGACAAGGCCACTCATCACGGGGGAATGGCACACTCATCCACCTGCATGACTGTTGGTGATAGACAAGGCCACTGATCACGGGGGAACGGCACACTCATCCACCTGCATGACTGTTGGTGATAGACAAGGCCACTCATCACCGGGGAACGGCACACTCATCCACCTGCATGACTGTTGGTGATGGACAAGGCCACTCATCACGGGGGGACACTCATCCACCTGCATGACTGTTGGTGATGGACAAGGCCACTCATCATGGGGGAATGGCACACTCATCCACCTGCATGACTGTTGGTGATGGACAAGGCCACTCATCATGGGGGGACACTCATCCACCTGCATGACTGTTGGTGATGGACAAGGCCACTCATCATGGGGGGACACTCATCCACCTGCATGACTGTTGGTGATGGACAAGGCCACTCATCACCGGGGAATGGCACTCTCATCCACCTGCATGACTGTTGGAGCCCCTGGAATGCTGGATTCCGATAGGATTAGCCTGGGGCAGTGAACACAGAAATGCACAACCCAGATCCCCTTTTCAAAGAAGGAGTTGCCGCCCAGCTGTGAGGAGTGTGGTCAACAGGTGGCCCCAGCTGCCAGCTCCTTCAGGATGTGCCTCAGCTGCAGGTTTCTTTCTAGTGACGCCCTTCTCAGGATAACCTGTATCAGAGGCAAGGCGAAGGTAGAAAAGGCCAGGCAGCTGCAGGCAGCACACCTCCGAGAGGCCACATTCACCCCGGAGCTCTCCGGCAGGCTGACCAAGGCTCACAAAGCCTGCTCCACAGGTGCCATCTCCATCTGGCACAGACCTGCTTCCTTCCCCTTCTTCCTTCCGGGGTGGACCCCACGAAATGTTTTGTATCATAACAGTTTGCATTTTAGAGTCTATTTCCAGAGAACCTACCCTGTGATAGCTTCCCAAAATATAAACCTGGGAAAGAATGGACTGAAAGAGTTGGTGGAGAGAACAGCAAGGCCTCACTGGTGCCCTGATTGCATAAAAGGTCAGTGTGGCTGAGGGTACGGCGTATTCGCATCTGCCTGGAAGGGAGCGCTGGCCTTGCAGAGAGATGACAGGGTGCAGCAGTGACGGGGGAGCCCGTGCATGGAGAGTTTTGAAACCCACCATGAAGCCTTTTGTGTTGGGTGGCATCAAAAGAGAAAACTGCAACACATGTAGTTATTAATTGAATTGGATTTTATTCCTGATTCATGAATAGAGCAGCCTCCATTCTACAAACAGAAGGAGAGTCCCAGCAGGCAGCAGCAAAACAGTGGGCTCTGTGAGGTGGGAACACAGAAACAGAGCGATGGAAAAAGTAGATTGGCTCCCATCAGGTCACTTTTCTTGGTAAGGGGTGAAGCGGAGAGAGGACTTGCTTCTTGCTCTCACTCAGGTAGACTGGAGGCTCCTGTTTTCAGGAAACCTAAGCTGTTTTGGGATCTGTTTCCTTGCAGTTTCAGTTTGATTACGTGGCACTTGCCACGAGTAACTCCATTCTGCTTTGGTCTTGTCCCCTGGGGCCTAGTGCAGGGACCTGGTCCAAAACAATGGCTTCCCATAAGTTTTGCCTCACGGTGGTGATGGCATTAAAGCAGCTTTGGAGCAAGATGATTCCCGGGGCCATTTGCCAGACAGTTAAGAAGCAGTGGAGACGGGAAGCTGAGCTGCCGTTGGCTTGCCCTTGTACCCTTCATTTCGTGGCTCTGTGGTCTGTGAATGTCTTTTCATGGAGGAGGAGGTGAGGTATAGATAAGACATGAACTGATGGTGGGGGACACTGTGAGGCAAAGGAAGAGCTATGAGGCTTTGGGACCCACCCACAGCTATGTCTGCAGAAGCCTCTTTTGTTCTAAAGAAGGTCCCTTCAGCTTCATTCATCTAAACCCTCAATATACCACCTACTATTGCTGTGCACTTCTGAATCCCACTGGCTCCTGGTGCCTCGGCCTAAGACAGGGCTGGGCTACCCATGTAGAGAGAGCCCTTGGCCCACAACAGTGCATCTGGGGAGAAGGCCCTAGAAGCCTTCTAGCAACTGAAGACAGGTGATGAGGATTCTTCACTTGACCAAACTCCATCAGGCTCCTGAAGCTTCTCCCAGACCCGTCTGTGCACTTCCTTGTGAAATCCAGTTTCATTTTAATTTTTTTCTTTATTTTGTAAAAATTAATGGGGTACAAGTGTAATTTTGTTACATTCATAGGTTGTGTAGTAAGGTCAGGGTTTTTAGGGTCTCCAACACCCAAATAACATAGATTATGCTCACTAAGTAATTTCCTGTTATGATAATTTCTCACCATCCCCTCCTCTCCCACCCCTCACTCTTCTGAGTCTCCATCATCTGTCACTCCACACTTTGTGCCTGCTCAGAAGTGAGAGCATGTGGTATTTGTCGTGCTGTGACTGCCTTGTTTCACTTAAGATAGTGGCCTCCAGTTTCACCCACGTGGTTGTGGAGGACACGATTTCATTCCTTTATGACAGCACCGTATTCTATCTGGTATACGTGCCACATTTTCTTCAGTCATCTGCTGGTGGACACTCAGGCTGATTCCATATCTTTGCTATTGCGAATAGTGCTGTGATAAGCATACAGGTGCAGGTATCTTTCTGATGTAATGATCTCTTTTCCTCTGAGCTGATACCCAGGAGTGGGATTGCTAGATTAAATGGTAGTTCTATAAAGTCCAGTTTCAGAAACAAACCTGCTAAGTCAATTTAGCAAGGACCGCTCCCCGTCCTCCATATCTGACCATCCTTGTTACCTGATCAGATTCCTCCTCCCCCTGCCCCGGGAGATGTCTGAGAACCCCGGCCTGCCCTCACCAAGAATCCTGTCAGGCTGGTTTAGCCTGAAGCTCCCTTAACCCCTGACATTTCTTGTTAATTTCCCATCTACCCTGACGATGTCTTGATGCTTCCTCTGAGTTAATTTCCTATCCATTTTTTCCCCACTCTGCTCCTTGGCTATACATTTCCATTTGCCCTTGCTGTATTCAGAATTGAGTCCAGTTCTATACTGGGATTTCTTTTTTCCTATTGCATTAGTTCCTGAATAAAATATATTTTTACTGTCGGACATGGCGGTACGCACTGGTAGTACCAGCCACTTGGGAGGCCGAAGCAGGAAGAATCACCCAGGAGTTCAAGACCAGCCTTGGGAACACAGTAGTAGCCTATCTTAAGCAATTTAAAAATATATATATTTTTGGCTTAGATGGCTGTCCAGCTTTGGTTTTCTTTGACAGCCAGTCTGTCCAGCCCTCGCCTGGGAAGGGTGAGGAGCACACATAGGCACTGGCCACTCCATCAAAGGCTTACACTTCAGGGCTCCCCACCTCTCAGATTCTTGTGGTTGCTTAAGAGATCAAAATCAGCTGGTCCCCTGGATAGCCCAGGGAGCATTTATCAATGGCACGCTGTCATTCAGGGTGATGGGTCTTTTCTTCCTGTTTTCTCATCAGGCCTTATAAAAGGGCTTCAGTCAGCTGCATTCTCATTTCACAGATCAGAAAAAGAAACTGCATTCTAGGCACTCTCCCTTTAATTCTCTTAGAAATTTGTAAGAGACGCCTACAGGTGGAATAAATAGAAACGGCAACTTGATACCCAGTGTCTGGAGCAAACATCCTGGTTCCAACTTGTGATTCAGACCCTGACCCATTTGAGAACAACGGGACCTGTCTCCTTGAAGGATGCAGCGTGTACAGGCATAAGGAGTGCCAGGCACAGATGTGAGCTGTGCCGTTATTACTGCCCATTTATTCCTAACCAGCTCTGAAGGTGCATGTGTGTAAATGTCTATGTGTGTGAATGTGTGTTGCGGGTCCTTCTGAAGCTTCAATTAGTTCACATCATGGGGAGAGAAAAAAGAGATTGGATTTCCAACTACCCTGCTGTTGGGACAGGGACTGTCTGCAGCCCAGCTGAGAGGCTTAGAGATTGGGGTCCGCCTGTCCTTTAGTCTGGGTCCTGGCTGCTGGGTCCCAGGAGAGACGATGGTTCTGGGACAGTGCCTGAGTGGAGCTCACTCTTCCTCAGGAGGCTGATACCTCTCCCTGGGAAAGCAGCCTGGCCTGAGGGGTCTTCTTGGTGATGTTTTGTTTGCCGGGAGAGAACCGCCCTCACAAGGGGTCAGCACACTTTCTGACTCAGCCATGCTTTTAGGAAGCTGTTAGGTATGAACGTGAGACATCCTGCGCCTTATAAAGCTCATCACTCAATTTCCAGACAGCGGCGGTCCGGAAGTCCTTGGACTGAATCCGTCTTTCCCGCTTTTCCTTCCACTCACCGCTGGCCCTTTCAGTCCTGGGGAGGCAGGATGAAGAGTTCTGCATGACAGCCTTTTAAGGGTTTGAAGGTGGCAATCCGACTTTCCTCCAGGCTCGACTCCAACAGCCTTCTTGGCGTCTCTGCAGGGATGCCTAACAGGTGTCTCAAGCTCCCTGTGCCCAAACTGGTATCCTGGTCTTCCTCCCAGACTCTCAGCCCTCGGACTAAGAGTCTCCTCTTTCATTCTCACCCAACCTCACATCCACCAGGAGAGCAGGCTGGCTCCTTCAGAGGATCTCACCTCCTTTCACCCCTTCACGTTTCCACCCTGCTCTGAGCCATGAACACATCCTGCCTGGATTATTGCAATTACCTTCCATATCAGTCAGGGTTCCCCAGAGAAGCAGAACCAGTGGGATATATATAGATATATAAGTGGGGATTTATTATGGGAATTGGCTCACATAATTATGGAGGCCGAGAAGCCCCACCATCTGCCGTCTGCAAGCTGGAGAACCAGGAAAGCTGTTGGTGTAATTCAGTCCAAGGCCAGAGGCTTGAAACATGGAGGAGGGGGGCCCCTAGTGTAAGTCCCGGAGTCTAAAGGCCTGTGAACCAGGAGCTCCAAGGTCTTAGGGTGGGAGAAGATGGATGTCCCAGACCAAGAAGAATGAGAAAAAATTGTCCCTTCCTCCATGTTTTCTTTCTAGCTGGGCCCTCAGTGGCTTGGACAATGCCTCACATTGGTGAGGGTGATCTTCTTTACCCCCTCCATGAGCTCCTGTGCTAATCTCTTCCAGGAACACTCTCACAGCCATGCCCAGAAATAATGAGCCTCCCTTAGCTCAGTCAAGTTAACACATAAAATCAACCATCACACCCCTAAGGGGTGTATTCTTCAGAGTCGCTGGCTTTGAAGATGTGGATCAGACCCCTCCCTTCCCTGGGATAGCTCCCCTCTCCCAGATGAAGTCAGAGAGCTTTCAGTGCCTGCAATGTCCTCCTGACTCTTCTCCCGCTGCCTCCCTTGGCTCCTGCCCTGCTGGTCCTGGTGCTCCTCCTAACATGCCAGGCGCTGTTCATGGCATTATTTCTGGTTAAGGCCCTTGCTCTGCCTGTGCCTGGGTCCTGTCCCCACATCTCTGCCACAGTCCTGCTCCATCCGTCGCCCCCTCCCCGTGCCTTGGTGAGATGTGCCCACCGCCCGGGTCCTCCCTGCCTGTTCCCAGCTCTCTGCCATAGTCCTGCTCTGTCCGTCACCCCCTCCCCATGCCTCAGTGAGATGTGCCCACCCGGGTCCTCCCTGCCTGTCCCCACATCTCTGCCACAGTCCTGCTCCATCCATCACCCCCTCCCCGTGCCTCAGTGAGATGTGCCCCACTGCCCGGGTACTCCCTGCCTGTCCCCAACTTTCTGCCATAGTCCTGCTCCGTCCATCACCCCCTCCCCGTGCCTTGGTGAGATGTGCCCCACCGCCCGGGTCCTCCCTGCCTGTTCCCAGCACTTACCATCTCCCTTAACCTGCCATCCTTTCCCCTTCGTCCCAGAGCGCCTCTCACTGTCTAACGTACAAGCACCTTATTCGTTTGTGGCGTGTGCTGTCTTGCTGGTCTCATTGCAAAGGAAGTTCCCTGGGAGAAGGGATCTTATTTTGATTTGACGGTGTAGCCCAAAGGCCGAGGGCCCTGCCCAGCACACAGCGGGTGCCATGTGCGATGTGCGTTGAGCGAACATGTGAATACTGACCCTCCCTTTCCTGTTCCCTCCACCCTTCCATGGATGGTGAGGTTTCTAGGGCCTTCTCCCCAGATGCACTGTTGTGGGCCAAGGGCTCTCTACATGGGTGGCCCAGAACAGATGCTGAGCCCAGGCCCAGACACACGGAGACAGGGGCACACTTGTGATTGTCCCTCAGGGTGTGGTGCGTCTGAGAAGAGGGAGCTCCTGACTCTGTGAGTTTGAAACGCTCACTCCAAAGCGGGGAGGGGGCTCTTGTCCCTCCAACTGGGACGTTACATTTTCTTTCACTCATCCAAATAATTTTTCATTGACTGCCAGCCATTTCCTATTCCTCCCAGATCAGTCTTTATCTGTATCCTCATCCAAAACACGGACACAAATGTCCGAACAGAAATCCCCGCGGAAGCTGCGGCAGAAGCCCCTCGTCCATCAGTCAGGAGAGGCTGTGGGGAAGGGTGGGGAGGTTCTGTGCCGCGGAAGCTCTGGGCCCTCCACCCTCACAGCGAGCCCCGACGTGGGCATCGTCACTGTCACTTCATAGGTAAGGAAAATCAGCTTTCAGGGGAAGCAGAAGAGTTTACAGTCCTTATTTACAAGTATGGAAAAAAGCCGTTTGAAAGAAAAAATTGGTTTCTACCTAAGCATCAAAAATAGTCCAAAGGTGGGAGGAAGAAAATCTTACTACAAACATTTTTGGCTGGGAAAAGAAGCACCAAGAAGCGGCCTGGCTCTGACAGCAAGACCCCGTCTCTACAGAAGCCTGAAAGATTAGCTGGGCATGGGGTGCGCACCTGTGATCCTACCTTACTCGGAGGCTGGGCTGGGAGGATCACCTGAGCCCAGGAGGTCGAAGCTGTGGCGAGCTGAGATCAGCCACTGTGCTCCAGCCGGGGTGACACAGTGAGAACCTGTCTCAAAAGAACAAAACAAAACAAACCCAAGAAGGTTTGGATGAAAGCAGCTCTTTCTAAGCTGCTGGCTGGGCCCAGCTTTTGAGCTCCTCAGTCTCCACTCTCTAAGGCTCTTCCCAGTGTGCTCCCTGAGACCCTGCCCCTGGAACTCCTGAGGCCACTCCCTCTTTGCTCCCCGAGGTCCCACCCCCTGAACTTCCTGAAGCCCCTCCGCTTTGGTTCCCTGACTCCCAACTCCCTCCAGGTGTCCTCCCATCTCTAAGGGTTGTCAGAGGGGTGTAGTCCCCCCGCCTCAGTCTCCAGGGAGCCGTGCTGCCTGTACCCTCTCCCAGGTGACATGTTCCAGAATTCTGCCTAGCATCAGTATTACACGGCTGGGCTGTAATTTGCCATGTCTGACTTTTCTTCTCCTTTTATCCAAATTAGGAAAAGCTTCTCCTGTTTCCAGACTGGAGTACAGCCCCTCTTCTTCTCTATGCTTTAACTATTTGTATATGCTTTGAGCTGCAAATGCTTTCGTGGACCCTATTTGATGGATTCATGATGGCAGCCTTACGCGGAAAACACTGCCATCTCCATTTTCCAGATGACAGCGCTAAGGTTCAGAGAAATCGGATAACTCAGCCACGGTCAGGGAAGTCCTAAGCGGCCGGACTAGGATCTGGACCCAGGTCTGCCACTGCTGAGTGCGGTGTTCTTTCCCTAGTGTCAACTGCCACGGGTGTTTTGGAGAGGGGCGCTTCTGAGGGGACTTTCTCAGGGGTCTCCCTCTGTGCACTGGCTTTGGCTGTCCCACAGATTCTTTCGCAGGTTCTGGTAGAACAATATTCTCCTTGATAAAGGAAGTAAAGAGGGGGCGAAACAGGGGAGAGGGAGAAGTTGGGTTTCTGTCATTTGCTGAGCACTTACTCTGTGCCTAGAACAGAAAAAGGTATCTTGCTTTTCTTTTTCCTTTAGAGACTGCACACAATCTGGCAAAGCATGGCTGTCCTATTAACTAAGAACTAGGGCAGTGAGCTGGCCTGAGCCACAGCTGCTTAGTGACGTGTCTGGGATTTGATGTCTGTTTCATTCCAAAGTCTGAATACTGCGAAAGAGGAGATAAGCAGCATATGTCTTCCTTCCAGACTTTATAACTCAAGTTCTTAGGGATTGCTTCAAATATTTATAAGTTTTTTGTGAAAATTACTTAAAAGAACAAAGAAGTAATATTTAGAGTTTCTACTTGCTAAAATGAAATTCACTGAGATGAAAAGACGTCCGTGGTTAAAAGTTGACTGCACTAATTTTCAAGTCATATAAAGGACCTTTCAATTAACCTCTCTTAGTTACAATTATCAGCAGCGAAGCAGGATCATTGGTAATTGTTATAACAGATGCCATATTTCATTTCCGATCTCAGGAGAAGAGTATTTTTGGGGTGTGTGAAAAATACCTTTCTACCCACTGTGCTGAGATGCCAGCATTTCAACACATGTGAGTGCTTGTTTAGGTGCCTCCCGGGGCGGTGCCAACTGTGGCGGGAGAAAGTACGCTGTCTTCTTGGCTGGCAACCCAAAAGTATATGATTTTTTTTTTTTTTATAGAGTCGCGCTCTGTCACCCAGGCTGGAGCGCAGTGGCACAATCTCAGCTCACTGCAAACTCCTACTTCCAGGTTCAAGCAGTTCTCCTGCCTCAGCCTCCCAAGTAGCTGGGACTACAGGCGCCCACCACCATGCCTGGCTAACTTTTGTCCTTTCAGTAGAGACAGGATTTCAACATGTTGGCCAGCCTGGTCTCAAACTTCTGACCTCAGGTGATCCTTCCCTGAGAAGCGCTCTCCTCTGAAACACCCGTGGCGGTTGACACCAGGGAAAGAACACCGCACTCAGCAGTGGCAGACCTGGGTCCAGATCCTAGTCCGGCCGCTTAGGACTTGCCTGACTGTGGTCGAGTTATGTGATTTCCCTGAACCTTAGCGCTGTCATCTGGAAAATGGAGATGGCAGTGTTTACCACATAAGGCTGCCATCATGAATCCATCAAATAGGGTCCACAAAAGCCTCCCCAAGTGCTGCGATTATAGGTGTGAGCCACTGCCTCAGCCCAAAAAGTATATGATTCTGAACATGTTCGCCGCTTCTGGCGCATATGTCCAGGCAATTAATAGATTGATCTAGAAGAGCCGTAGATTTCTTTCTAACTATCCCTTGTTCAATATCCTTGGGGCCAGTTGTGTTGTGGAATTTAGATCTATCAATTACATCGTAGATACTAAACAACCCCAGAGGGCTCTGGGGAAGCACCCTGTGGTCAGTCTTAGTATTTCTGCAGCAAACATGTGAACTTTTACAATAAGTAAAGGAAAACTTATAGTCCCACTTCCATTTAGGTTGCATTTTGCTCCCAGTGGAGTTCTGGAAGGTCAGGTTTTGTGGAAAAATAAGTCTGTCACGAGCTTAGCAGGAAGACTCTGTTCTCAGAACTTTTGTCTTTCGGAGCCTGCAGATAAGAGACTAATCCACAAGAATATTTCTTTGCAAACCCTACTGGTGGGAACATCTAGAATTTATTGAATGCCCTGTTCTTAATGAGAAATGCAACGCATTTAAAATGCTGTTTCTGTAGGAAAATAAAATCCACTTCATGGGGATCTATTTTGACATGCTGTTTCTAGGATCACAGAGTGGCTAACAGGGAGGACAATAAGGATTATTTGAAGTCATGACTGTGTAGTCTTCAAGACATGGGACAAGGGGACCCAGTCAGGCTCCTGGCTCCGTACTTACAATGTCAGGGGGTAAACTGAGTCCAAGCCAAGAGAGTTTTCAACAATAACAGCTGAAAGAAAAATGTTTTCTGGTTAGTTACCCAGGAAGTTATGAAGGGGAAAACGTATTTCTTAATACTGGAGGGCCAGCCACAGTGGTTCATGCCTCTAATGCCAGCACTTTGGGAGGCTGAGGTGGGCAGATCTCCTGAGGTCAGGAGTTCGAGACTAGCCTGGCCAACGTGATGAAACCCTGTCTCCACTAAGAATACAAAAATTAGTAGGCATGTTGTGGGCACCTGTGATCCCAGCTATTCGAGAGGCAGAGGCGAGAGAATCGCTTGAATCCGAGGGACAGAGGTTGCAGTGAGCTGAGACAGCGCCATTGCTCTCTATCCTGGGCAACAAAGCAAGACTCCATCTCAAAAAAAAAAAAATGCTGGAAAGAAGATATTTTTTCTACAACATTTTCTATAACATTTCTATATAGAAAACATTGGCATTGGATAGAATTCAGCTTTATGGTACACGTTTCTTCCTTAAAGTTCCTTGGTCAGGAGCTTTCATGGAATGTCCAACGCAAAAGAAACCAAAGCAGCCGTCCTCACAGCCTCTTCTGCCCCCCATGCCCACCCCAGATGGCGTCACCAGTCTGTGTACCAAGGCTCCCTGGGCACTGCAGAGAACTCACAGGGATGCCACAGTATAGGTTGAATTTTTGAGAGAAACAGTGATACTCGACATCTGTCGGACGTTGACTAACTTTACACGATGCCACATTCCTTTCGGTTGTGGCATATTTTGCAAAGCTGGGCTTTTGGTGGTGGTTGAGATAAAAAGCAAGCACCACCCCAAAATCAGTGTGGAACAGGAAATGAGGGCAGCCGTGTCCATTTGATTCCAAGATTTGGAAAGCTGTGCAATGCCCAATGGGTACACATGGTTCATTAGTCATTGTGGGGAAGGGAATAAAAATATTTCCCTCCAAAATATTGAGAATTGTTAAGTTAAAGACCCCGAAAACGCAGGGGGAACACTCGGCTTCAGCCTCTGTTTGCTGGATGGCAGCACAAAAATCCTTCCTTAGTGGGGATGACATTTGCTCATCCGCCCAGAGCAAGCAGCAGCCGACACCAGAGGAATCTGGGAACAGATCTTACTCTCTTCCCACACACCTTCCTGACTTTTAATAGACTGGAATTGCTCTTTTCTTTGTCTTGTCACTATATGGTATTTATGGCTCTGTTAAGATACTATTTAAGCAAGGTCCCTAAGCCACTGCTGTGAGAGAGAAATACTTTTGAACTGAGGCTTCTCCTGTATGACACGTACGGCAGGTATTCATGCGTGTCTGCGTGTTTTTCTTTTGTTAATCTGACTTTGGTTTTCAGGAGAGTGTCTCCAATAAGAGCCTCAAAAGGGAAAGAAAATAGATTATGCTTTCTCCCCTGCAGTGGTTATTTAAGAAGGATATAAAGGCATTGTTTTTCCTTCAATTTCTGTGTATTAAATTGTGACATAAATGTGACGCAAGGATGAGACACAAATATTTATGAAGTTATTTGGATATAACTATTCAATACATGGAAACTTTAGGGATTTCTTTTGGCCTTTGGGCACCGTGAAAAACTCACTGAGACATTGGGGGTGCCCTCAATGGAGAATTGGGAACCTCTGGTATAGTTCCCTGAATGCTCAGATGAAGAGGCTCAGAATCACCCTTTATTTCTCTCTCTGTTTTTTAAATTTATTTATTTTACCTTAGGTGCACACTATATCTGGCATTTCTCCCCATGTTATCCCTCCTCACCCCCCCTCCCCACCCCCGCTGCCTCTCCCCTACCCCCCCAACTGCCCCAGTGTGTGATGCTCCTCTCCGTGAGTCCACGTGTTCTCATTGTTCAACACCCACCTATGAGTGAGAACATACGGTGTTTGGCTTTCCGTTCTTGTGTTGGTTTGCTGAGAATGATGGTTTCCAGATTCATCCAAGTCCCTCCAAAGGACACGAACTCATCATTTTTTATGGCTGCATAGTATTCCATGGTGTATATGTACCACATTTTCTTTGTTCAGTCTATCATTGATGGGCATTTGGGTTGGTTCCAGGTCCTTGCTATTGTATACAGGGCTGCAATGAACATACGTGTACATGTGTCTTTATAGTAGAATGATTTATAGTTCTTTCAGTATATACCCAGTAATGGGATTGCTGGGTCAAATGGAATTTCTGTTTCTAGATCCTAGAGAAATTGCCACACTGTCTTCCACAATGGTTGAACTAATTTACACTCACATCAACAGGGTAAAAGTGTTCCTATTTCTCCACATCCTCTCCAGCATCTGTTGTCTCTAGATTTTTTAATGATCGCCATTCTAACTGGCGTGAGATGGTATCTCAGTGTGATTTTGATTTGCATTTCTCTTTTTTTTTGAGGTGGAGTTTTGCTCTTGTTACCCAGGCTGGAGTGCAATGGCGCGATCTCGGCTCACCGCAACCTCCACCTCCTGGGTTCAGGCAATTCTCCTGCCTCAGCCTCCTGAGTAGCTGGGATTACAGGCACATGCCACCATGCCCAGCTAATGATTTGCATTTCTCTAATGATGAGTGGTGATGAGCATTTTTTCATATGTTTGTTGGCCTCATATATGTCTTCCTTTGCAAAGTGTCCATTCATATCCTTCACCCACTTTTGCACGGGGTCGTTTTTTTTCTTGTATATCTGTTTTGGTTCTTTGTAGATTCTGGATATTAGCCCTTTGTCAGATGGGTAGATTGCAAAAATGTTTTCTCATCCTGTTGGTTGCCGATTAGCTCTAATGATTGTTTCTTTTGCTGTACAGAAGCTCTGAATTTTAATTAGATCCCACTTGTCTATCTTGGCTTTTATTGCCATTGCTTTTGGTGTTTTAGTCATGAAGTTCCCGCCTATGCCTATGTCCTGGATGGTTTTGCCTACGTTTTCTTCTAGTGTTTTTATGGTGTTAGGTTTTATGTTTAAATCTTTAATCCATCTGGAGTTAATTTTGGTGTAAGGTGACAGATAGGGGTCCAGTTTCTGCTTTCTGCACATGGCTAGCCAGTTTTCCCAGCACCATTTATTAAACAGGGAAACCTTTCCCCATTGCTTGTTTTTACTGGTTTTGTCAAAGATCAGATGGTTGTAGATGTGTGGTATTGCTTCTGAGGCCTCTGTTCTGTTCTGTTGGTCTATGTCTCTGTTTTGGTGCCAGTACCATGCTGTTTTGATTACTGTAGCCTTGTAGTATAGTTTGAAGTCTGTCAGTGTGATTTCTCTGGCTTTGTTCTTTTTGTTTAGGATTGTCTTGGCTATGCGGGCTCTCTTGTGGTTCCATATGAAATTTAAAGTGTCTTTTTCCAGTTCTGTGAAGAAGGTCATTGGTAGCTTGATGGGGATGGCATTGAATCTATAGATCACTTTGGGCAGTATGGCCATTTTCACAATATTAATTCTTCCTAACCATGAGCATGGAATGTTTTTCCATCTGTTTGTGTCCTCTCTATTTCATTGAGCAGTGGTTTGTAGTTCTCCTTGAAGAGGTCCTTTACATCCTTTGTTAGTTGTATTCCTAGGTATTTTATTATCTTTGTAACAATTGTGAATGGCAGTTCATTCTTGATTTGGCTCTCTTTAAGTCTGTTATTGGTATCTACGAATGCTTGTGATTTCTGCCCATTGATTTTGTATCCTGGGACTTTGCTGAAGTTGCTTATCAGTTTAAGATTTTGGGCTGAGACGATGGGGTCTTCTAGATATACAATCATGTCATCCGCAAATAGAGACAGTTTGACTTCCTCCTTTCCTAATTGAATATCCTTTATTTCTTTTTCTTGCCTGATTGCTCTGGCTAGAACTTCCAGTACTATATTGAATAGGAGTGGTGAGAGAGGGCATCCTTGTCTAGTGCCGGATTTCAAAGGGAATGCTTCCAGCTTTTGCCTGTTCAGTATGATATAGACTGTAGGTTTGTCATATATAGCTTTTATCATTTTATGGTATGTTCCATTGATACCTAGTTTATTGAGAGTTTTTAGCATGAAGCACTGTTGAATTTTATCAAAGGCCTTCTCTGTATCTATTGAGAGAATCATGGTTTTTGTCTTTGATTCCATTTATGTGATGGATTACATTTGTGGATTTGCATATGTTGAACCAGTCTTGCATCCCCAGGATGAAGGCTACTTGATCGTGATGGATAAGTTTCTTGATGTGCTGTTGCAGTCTGTTTGCCAGTATTTTATTGAAGATTTTTGTGTCGATGTTCATCATGGATATTGTCCTGAAGTTTTCTTTTCTAGTTGAGTCTCTGCCTGGTTTTGGTATCAGGATGATGTTGGTCTTGTAAATTGAATTAGGGAGGATTCCCTCCTTTTGTATTGTTTGATACAGTTTCAGAAGGAATGGAACCAGCTCCTCTTTGTTTGTCTGGTAGAATTTGGCTGTGAACCCATTTGGACCTGGACTTCTTTTGGTTGGGAGGCTATTGATTGCTGCCTCTACTTCAGCCCTTGTTATTGGTCTATTCAGGGTTTCAGCTTCCTCCTGGTTTCGTTTTGGTAGAGTGTAGAGTACAAGTGTCTAGGAGTGTATCCATTTCTTCCTGGTTTACTGGTTTATGTGAGTAGAGCTGTTTGTAGTAATTTCTGATGGTGGTTTGTATTTCTGTGGGATCTGTGGTGATCTCCCCTTTATTGTTTTTTATTGCATCTATTTGATTCTTCTCCCTTTTCTTTTTTATTAATCTGGCTAGTGGTCTATTTTGTTGATCTTTTCAAAAAACCAGCTCCTGGATTTATTGATTTTTTTGAAAAAAAAAATCTCCTCTGATCTTAGTTATTTCTTGTCTTCTGCTAGCTTTAGAGTTTTTTTGATCTTCCTTCCCTACCTCTTTCAATTTTGATGATAGGATGTTGATTTTAGATCTTTCCTTGTTTCTCACCTGGGTATTTATTGGTGTAAATTTCCCTCTCAACACCGTTTTAAATGTGTCCCAGAGATTCTGGTAACTTGTGTCTTCATTCCAGTTGGTTTTGAAGAACATCTTTATT